TGCGCAGAAGCTGCGAGATGCATCGCCCGCATTTTCTGCCGTCCTGTGAAGGCGGTGAGACAGAACTAAGAGGGGCCTACCGCCTTAACACGCCCAAGCTGAGGCAAGAGTCACGTGATATTAATTAAACGGCACGCGTTGTCGTCACGTCGCGCGTCTCGTGCTGTCGCCGGCCGAGTGTTGCCTGCAATCGCTGCTTGTGTCTCAGCGCCCCCAAGCCTTATTTTAAACCGTGATTGTTCTTTGCCCTGGGGGTTTTTATTTACGCCTTCCATCGAAAAGGGCGCTGGTTTTAATAGCTTTCTTGGAATCGTGTTGGGCGCAGTTCTATGCCAGCTTTCCGCTTGCCTACGCTCAATGCGTCGCTAACTTATTTCCGCGATCCTAAGACTATTTTCATAACTCGAAAAACCGGAGTGCCTCGACATTTCAAGTTCGACTTTTTAAGAAGACGAAACAATTGCATATCCACTTTTGCTTACGTTTATGCTACCGAAGCGGGCGGGTCGCGAGTAGGAGTTACTTGTTCACCTCACCCTAGAGATACATCCCGAAGGAACATCTCATTGCTTTTTCGACCACTCACTTCAGCGATGCCGGAAAAAAGGCAAGCTACGCTGGGGTATGTAAGAGATCCTCAAACGACCATTGGGTGCGTCGTAGACTTCATTGCGCAGTGGTTGGGATACATGAAAAAACGAGTCGTTTGCAATTATTCTTAACTGACTTTATGCCTACGCGCATGCATATAGGAAGTTCTTTGGTTCCGGAGCAGGTTCATCTTCGAAAGAGGCCCCGAAGAGGCAGACAACATTGTTCTTTTCTGATGGAAATAAAAGGAAGGGCGAGAAGAAAACTGAGAAGGGAAGTGGCGCAGTCAAAGAAGATGCCATCAGCCCAGACATAAAGGAGAATGGGACGAGCGAAGTGAAGGACGACGATGTCCAGGCAGCTGTTGCCTTAGATGGTGAAGACTCGAATTCCCTCTCCAAACGATTGAAGAGAGAGAAAAGTGTTGAAGATGAAGACAGCGACGAGTCTGATATTCAGCCAGTCAGTAAGAGGCGAAGAAAAGGCCCGAAACAGGGTACGAGCAGTGCTCGGAAGACTCTAGCAGAGACTTCAAGTGACCCTCTTTCGGATAAGGAAACGGGGTCTGAACCTCTCACTACGCAGACGGCTGTGAAGAAAGCGTCTGGGGAAGAGACTCCAGTCGAAGAAGATGAAGAAGAGGAGCCAGAGGAGGAACAGTCAGCAAGCGAGGACGAAGAAGAAAAGCCGGAATTGAAAAAGAAGCAAATTGAAAAGGTTCAGGCGACTCTCAAGGGTAGTGGCAAGGAACCGTACCCGGACTGGAAGCCTGGCGAGCCGGTTCCCTACGCAGCGCTCTGTACAACCTTCTCTCTGATTGAGATGACTACAAAGCGTCTCGCCATTCTTGCTCACACTTCCCTATTCCTCCGTCAAGTCCTCCGGCTAACCCCAGGCGATCTTCTGCCAACAGTGCAATTAATGATAAATAAGCTGGCCTCGGATTATGCCGGTATCGAATTGGGGATCGGAGAGTCACTGATCATGAAGGCCATTGGTGAGAGTACTGGTCGAAGTCTGTCCGTGATCAAAGCGGACCAGCATGAGATTGGTGACCTGGGTTTGGTTGCTGCGAAGAGCAGATCCAATCAGCCTACTATGTTCAAACCAAAACCGTTGACTGTAAGGGGAGTACACGAGGGTCTTCTCGCTATTGCCAAAGTCCAGGGACATGGTTCTCAGGACAAGAAGATCTCTGGTATCAAAAAAGCTCCTGTCAGCGGCCGATGCGGCTACGGCTGGCAAGGGTAGCAAAGGTGTCGATATCACGAAGAACAAAGGCGGTGCTAGCGAAGCCAAATTTATTGTCAGGTTTCTCGAAGGGAAACTGAGACTTGGTTTGGCCGAAAAAACGGTTCTTGTTGCCCTTGCGCAAGCAATGGTCACACACGAAGCTGCGCTTAAGGGGAGAGAGCCCAGCGCAGAGGAGTTGGCTGAAGGCGAAGCTATACTCAAGACTGTCTTTAGCGAACTCCCATCATACGAAGTGATCATTCCTGCTATGCTCGAACATGGAATCTTCAAGCTCCGTGAGGTCTGCAAGCTGCAGCCTGGCGTCCCGATCAAGCCTATGCTTGCCAAACCGACAAAATCGATCACTGAAGTCCTCGACCGTTTTGAAGGCAAAGATTTTACGTGTGAGTACAAATATGACGGCGAGAGAGCTCAGATCCATTATGTCGCACCGGATTCTATCCATCAATATCCAAGCGCCACTACAACCCTGAAGAAAGACGGTAAAGGGTTGTGCTCTATCTTCTCGCGCAATTCCGAGGATTTATCCAAGAAATACCCCGATATTCTTGAGAAGCTCGAAACCTGGATTAAACCGGGTGTTCACAGCTTCGTCCTTGACTGCGAGACTGTCGCTTGGGATGTAGTCAACAAGAAGGTCCTTCCGTTCCAACAATTGATGACCCGGAAGCGAAAAGATGTCAAAGCGGAAGATGTCAAGGTCAAGGTCTGCGTATTTGCGTTTGACCTCCTGTTCTTAAATGGAGAGGTTAGCCGTCCTTGGTTTTTCCACCCTGCCGTGTCCCTCGATACTAACAAGAATGACAGCCAACTGTCAGGAAGACTTTGCGGGAACGTCGTCGGCTCCTCCACGAGTCATTTCAACCTGTGGAGGGCGAATTTGCATTCGCTCAATACGGGAATACAAATGACTTGGAGGAAATCCAGAACCTGCTGGAAGAGAGTGTCAAGGCTTCCTGCGAGGGCCTGATGGTGAAGATGTTGGACACGGAAGAAAGTGGCTACGAGCCTAGCAAGCGAAGTCGGAATTGGCTGAAGGTATTCAAGCCAAATCCCCTATGGACCGTTTGCTTGGAGAGAAGATCTAACACACAAATGCTTGCAGGTCAAAAAGGATTATCTCGCTGGTCTTGGCGACTCTCTCGACCTAGTCGTGGTCGGCGCCTATTACGGCCGTGGAAAACGCACGTCGGTGTACGGAGCGTTCCTGCTGGCGGCATACAATACAAGTACGCAGACTTTTGAAACCATCTGCAACATTGGGACAGGCTTTTCGGACTCCCTCCTGGAGGAGCTTCACAAAGAGCTCTCCCCACTGGTAATAGACCGACCCAAGCCTTTCTACTCCCACTCCAACGTCCCCAAGGACCAGCCGGACGTGTGGTTCGAGCCCCGTCTTGTCTGGGAAGTCAAAGCCGCCGATCTCACCCTCAGCCCGCGATACAAAGCGGCCGCGGACGAGATGCTGGGGACGACCGATGGCAGCAAGGGCATCTCGCTGCGGTTCCCGCGGTATATCAAGTCGCGGGAAGACAAGAAGCCCGAGCAGGCGACGACGACCCGCGCGGTGGCCGAGATGTACCGCAAGCAGGAAATCGTTGCCAAGGAGAACGCGAGCAAGGGTGGCGTGGATGATGATTGGGAGTATTGATCTGTTCACCTCGTGCTGAGTCTAATGTTAATCTCGCGCCGGATTAATTGGAATATCTTTTTTTTGGTTTCCGCTTGTCGAACGGCATGCATGCATGAATGTATTGTATAGTGTAGTTTTCTTTCTAATTTGATTATTATTATGCCATGTCCATGACTCCATAATAGAACTTTCCTTCCTTCCGGAAACATTATGATTGCGATGGATACGCATTACATTTAGGTACGTAGGTACATACGTACGTACGTAGAGTAAGTACTATTTTCACCATCCCATCCATCCTATCCACAGAATGGAGGATTATGCAATTAAAAAGAGCAAAAAAAAAAGGCAAATAAAGAGACGCCAGACGCCTTGCAGAGAGAAGAATAGAAGCCAATAGTAGGGGGAGGGGAAAAAAGAAAAAGGAAGAAATGAAGACAAAAAAAAATCCTCCCCAGAAGTGGAATTAAATCTTTGTACATCCAATACTTATGACGCCAGCCTGTCCGTCCGTCCAACCGTCCGTCCACTCACTTCATCAACACCATCGTTGCCGTCGTAAACTGCAGAAAAGAAAAAGAAGAGAAAAGGAATAAAGGAAGAGGAGGCGTAAAAAGACAGAGGTGTTTCTATTCTTCAAATTTCCGTTTCACACCGTTCCCGTTCATCTGCATCGCTCTTCGTCGTCGCTCGGCCTCCTCTTGCGCCTGGGCCTGGGCCTGAGCCTGGCGCTTCTTCCAGGCAGCCTTGATGGCGGGCGCGGCGCGGATGAGGTCCTCCTCGGTGACGCGGTCGCGGATGGACTCGAGGACCTTCTCGACGGTGGAGATGTGGTTGCATTCGGCCTTGTCGTCGCGCAAGCGGAGGTAGCGCCACCGGCCCTGGTCGTCCTGGTAGCACTCGACGATGGTGTCGTCGAGCGGCGTCTGCAGCGCCTTGAGGTTTTCCCACTCCGATGGCGTGACGTACATCTCGCCAAAGTGCCGGTATTCGCCCCCGTTGTACAGCACGAAGAGGTGGAAGATGGGCATCGCGTCGTAGTCCGGGTACGGCTCCGTCACGCCCTCCGCCTCGTCCTCCGAATCGGGCTCCAGGAGCGGGAACTCCAGGCGCATGCGGAAGTCGATCGTGTTCTCTTCGGGCGGCTTCCACTTGAGGATATGCTCGTCCGTGCCGATCTTGTACGGCGTGCTTCGGCAGGTGAAGATGAGCCCGTCATTGCCGTGGATCTTCTTCACCTTGGGGATGATCTCGCGGAACATCATCTCGATGCCGTAGCTGAACTGCGTCGACTTGTCCTCCACGACGAACGCCCGGTGCTGCTTCTCCTCGGGGAACTTGTTGTACATGGCATTGTAGGGCTTCAGCACCTTCTCCTTGAAATAGGCCAGCCGCTTGTCGAGCGTGCGGTGCATCAGGCTCTGTCCGTCCAGCACCATGCAGTCGAACACCAGGTACTTGAGCTGCGTCGTGCCGTCCTCGTACGTGTCATTGACGAGCTCGCCGTCGACCAACGTGTCGACATGGAACTGCTGGAAGGTCTCATCGTCCGGCAAGGGGAAGTGCAGGCCCGGTACGTAGCGGTAGTCGTTCTTGCGATCGATCAGGTAATGGATCTCAGGCGTGTCCGAGTCCGGGTCGCCGCGCGCAAAGTACATCAGGCAGCGGATCCCGTCCGTCTTCTCGCACACGTAGTAGTCCTCCTTCTGGAGCTCGAGCAGATGCCGCGCCGCGAAGCTCACCGGCTGCGCGCCGGGGAAGCTCGTGTTGTTGCGCCCCAGCAGCTGCGCGACCTCCCGCCGGAACTGTTCCGCGAGCTCCGGCTCCGCCTTGATTCCAATCGCATCGATATCGGGGACGGAACGGCCCATGGTGGGTGAGGTTCAGAGAGTGTCGAATTGCTGTAGGGGCGATGGGACGGAAAGGAAGCGAACGTCTGTTCTCTGGCCCTGCCGAGGTCCAGGAAGCAGGTTCTCGGCAGAGACAGCTCGGGGGTAGCTGGATTCGTGCTCAATGCTCGCCCAGCAGGCGAAGGTGACGAGGCACTCACCACCGCAATGAGCTGTAGAGATTCTTCAAAAGAGGAAAATAAATAAAGAGTTAAAGACAGGATTCAGAAGGATGGAGGCTGAATTGAAATATTCCCCACGTCTGCGAAGTACTACGCCACCCAACCGGACTATCTGTGACGGAAGAACGCGACGTCGATCTCCGGCATGCCGCCTGAGGCATCCACGGCACGTGAGTCCTGAGTTAATGGATTACAATAGAACCGAGCCACAATGCTCACTCAGGCACTTGATGTAGCGGCAAAAGAATAATAATAAGAATGCAATGGAATTCCACCGAATGCATGCGCTCGCAATGGGGCCTACTACCCCAGTTCTATATCCTTTCTTACACTCCATATACAGTGCGTATGTATGTAGTACATGCATACACCACAGGCCGTCAAAAAGAAAAGAAAACCTAAACGATAGTCCGCAGTATAAGTATAGCCTCGAACAGGATGAGAATGCACCCGATCACTCAAACATGAAAATCCAAAGAGGCTTATTGCACATGTCAGGTAACACAGGGTATCATCACGTCGTTATAAGTCGAGAATGCCCACTCGTACCCTTCCATAAACGCCGTTACCGAATTGTCCCGTAGCAGCCCGTAAAGACAAATAAAGAAAAAGAAAAAAGAAAAGGAAAAGGAAAGCAAGAAACCACCACTCCAAGCTGGTGTGCAGAGTACAATCCGAATGCAGGTCAAGAAAAGATCCCGGCCTACGAAGTTGCCGCGACGGCAGTCTTTGCAGGGGGATTTGTAGCGGGGCGATTGGATGTGCTCGATTGCGTCGCGGCCGCCTTCTTGGACGAATCAGCCGACGCCTCAGGCACAGTTGGAGACGTCAAAGTTGGGCTTTCGGCAGACTGGAACAAACCCCTGCCACCCTGGGCAGTCGAGTCTCCGGTAGAGAATAGGCCTCCGCCTCGAGCACCCCCTAGGACATTCGACAGCATCTCCTTCATCCGAACATAGTGATATTTCTTTCTCGTCGGCATCAATACGTGTGTCTCCAGAGGTCGAGGACATGAACGGGAGATGGCAGCCATGACGGCATCCCGCTCTTCGTCAGAATCCACGGGGCCATTATTGTCAAAGTCGTCCTGAAGCGGTGCGTTCGCATCGATTGCAGCTTCTACAGAGACCAGTTAGCATTGTACGCAGCAAAGAAGATGGGCTAGGACACTCACTTTGCTGCCGGGCCTGATTCTTCTTCTGGTACGCCTGGAGGAGCATGTCATAGGGCAAAGACCGCCCAGGCACAGCACGCTTAGCGCCCATCGAATGGCTCTTGCAGGTGAGAGACCGCGCACACTGGGCACCATTAGGAAGGGTGACACCACACTGCTTTTCGACGTCGACGGGCCCTTTTGGTTTCGGGACCTTGGGTTTAGGCTCCTCCTTCTTTTTCTTCTTCTTGGGCTCCTTCTCCTTCTCTTCCTCGCCGTCAGCCTTGCGCTTCTTGCCTTTCTTCGTGCCGTCATCGGCCGTCCCTTTGACGGCGCTCTTCTTTGCGCTCTTCTGACCGTTGACAGCATCGTCCGCATCTCCCGCCTTGTCATCGTCTGCCTTGTCGTCGCCATCCTTGTCGGCAACCGCTTCCTTGGCCTGGTTCTTCGCATCGCGGGCCTCCTTCTTCTTCCGGGCCTTCTCCTGTTTGGCTTTCAAACAACCGCGTATATGCTCGGCAGCCGCTTGCTTCAACACCGGCCGTTTGCAGTGCTTGCATATAACAGTTTCGATTTGATCTTCTCGGGGTTTTCCAGACGGAAAAGAGGCCATGGTCTTCTCATCCATCTCTGGGAGGATCGGGGATGAATCGGGCGAACCGGGAGCGTCAACGTCATTTCCTGCGTCATCGCCCCATAAGTCAACATGTATACGTAGATATAGATAACAGTATATCCAGAACGTCAAGGATTTGAACATAAGATCATAATAAGGAAAGGTAATCAACATACCAGGCGGCTCCGGCTTGCTGCCGGCCTTGACAGCCTTGCCGGATGCTTGCTTCTTCAACTTGATCTTGCCGGGCTTCATGTCCTTCTCGGAGTACTTGTACCCGGACGCATCGACGAAACTACCCGAGCTCGAGGCCACGGACGAAGCTACAAGGAAAATAACCGGGTCAGCTCAACATCCTTTTCGGAAGACTATTTTTCTTTCTCTCTTTCTGATCGCGTGAACAAACGACGCGCACGAACCTCGTCCTGTTGTCCCGTTTGTAGTCGCCATGGTTACTAAACTTTAGGAGGCGAGGAAAGGTTTAAAAAAAAGGCTTCGGTCCCAGGCTCGCTGGATCTATCTCTATCCGGAGCAGGACAGATGTGCGATGAGAAAGAGGTGTGGTAATCTATTATTATTATAGATAAGATGGAGCGTGACCCAGGGCCTGATATGGGACAGGTTGGTTATCATCGTGTTGCCCGTTTCTCCGGATTCGGGCGTAAGCGCCAGGCTGTACTCACGTGACTGCGGGAGGTGTGTCAGCAAAATCAGCTTTTCTATATTTTGCTCCGCTGGAAATGAGTGAAGTATATATATAACTGTTCAATAGACAGTGTGGCCGAGTGGTCTAAGGCGCTAGATTAGAATGTTCCATTAGGAATATATAATCTATCTAGTCCCTGCGGGGTCGCCAGTTCGAATCTGGTCGCTGTCGTTACTTTTTTTTATTTCAGCCCACTATTTTTCCTTTTTAGTGGGGTCTTTCTCCAGTGCGTGGTAGTAGTAGAATGTAGTATATAGCATTACTGTACAGATACAATTATCATTACTATGGTACATACAATTATTTATACCTAGCAAAGCAAAGACTGCTGTTCGTTCCCCCAAATCCAAAACTGTTCGACAACGCAACATCAATCGTCCGCTCCTGGGCAGCTTTGGGCGCGTAGTTGCAGTCAAACTCGGCCGTCCTGTTCTCGAGATTGATGGTGGGCGGCATCACATTCTAATGGTGAATTGATTAGCAGACAGATATTTCATAGTGCAACACAATGAAAGAAAGGAAATTGACAAACCTCGTGAATGGCCAGAACGGAAAAGACCGCCTCGATGGCCCCCGCGCCGCCTAGAAGATGGCCGATGGCACCCTTGGTACTACTGACATTGATCTCTGCAGCCTTTTGCTTTCCTCCAGGACCAAGAAGCAGGGCTTTAATGGCCGCGTTTTCGGCTGCATCTCCGATGACCGTAGAGGTGGCATGCGCGTTAACATAATCCACAACGGAGGGCGACAGGCGAGCGTTCTTTAGAGCTTTTTTCATCGCCGCCAATGCGCCTTCTCCATTCTCCTTCGGGGCTGTCAGGTGATGTGCATCCCCAGAGGTGCCATAGCCTTTGAATTCGGCGTAGATACGAGCGCCTCTCGCTTTTGCATGCTCCAACTCCTGTCATGGCGTGGTCAGCCAGGGGTAAAACGAACATGAAGTGACGAGGATGAGAGGTACGCACTTCCAAGATCATAACGGCTGCTCCCTCCCCGACAACAAACCCTTGACGATCGGCGTCAAAAGGTCTGGAGGCTTTGGCAGGAGAATCGTTGAATCCTGTAGAAAGGCTCCTCGATCGGGCAAAGCCTCCAACGGCCAACGGGTGGATGCACGACTCGGCACCCCCAGCAACCATCACGTCTGCATCACCAAACGCAATGAAACGAGCCGCATCTCCGATGGAATGCGCCCCTGTTGTGCATGCCGTGGTGGCGGCATGGTTGGGGCCCTGGGCAAGTAGTCAGAACGTCACTGCTGTAAGCGTCAGAATAGAAGAGGTGAAGCTTACCATGAAACCATATCTCATGGAGATGTGACCCGCACCAAGGTTGATCAGCAGCTTTGGAACGAAGAGCGGGGAGACTTTCTTGTAGCCCTGGAAAACAAAACATTGCGAATGAGCATGTAGCGTCCCTTCAAATCGGGCCAGAAATTAACTCTCGTACACTTTGGTCGTATGCCACCGCTGTATCATAAATCTCGTCAAAGTTGCCAATCCCCGAGCCCAGACATACACCCTAATCCCATTAGAATCAAAAACGCCATACATAATCGCAGTCCTGGATAGTCAAAACTTACTGTGGCTTGCCGTTGCTCATAAGAGGTGGGCTTCCAGCCGGCATCTTCCAGAGCTTCCTCGGTAGCAGCCACGGCATACTGGGAAAATCGAGCCATCTTACGCTCATCCTAGAGCATGGTCAGACAACAAAGCATCACCATCGCTTTTCATCTTGGGCTCACATCTCGACTCAGCCATTCGGAGGCCGTCCATCCTCCCTCCTGGCGAGAGCCATGAGGGACGACCGCCGCGACCTGGCATGGCAGCTCCGCAAACCGGGGATGCCTGTCCGCGACGTTGACGACGCCACAGTGGCCATCGAGCAGACGCTTCCACGTACGACGGACTCCTTTGGGTATCTTCAATCAGCGTGCGCCCACTACCGAGGTAGATCCTCAGAGAAGCATGGAGACTTGTCCCAGGTCAGGTGACAAAGCAGTGGAATCGAGACCGCCATCCAACCTCGTCACCTAGACAGTTTGATATAATGCAGGTTATAGACCGCTTGGAAGCGGCTTGAAGGCCCCACCAATGACGGACAAGAAAGAAAGAAAAAGATGACAACAAGAACACTCACCTACGCCCAGCGGCGTTACCGCGCCCAACCCGGTCACGACCACTCGACGCATGGCATCGTGTGCTGCAAGCGGATGCAGAGCTCGTGCTGCTAATATTAATGATGCGATGCGGAGAGAAGAGCAGGGGTGTGTTCCATGCACTCACTCGCTTGCCGACAGCGGCTATTTTCTCTGCGTATTGACCAAAGCAGGCAACGGGCTCGGATGATTTGATATTTTCTCTGCCGGGTCGATTGGAGCTCTGGGAAGCTGGAGGAGGGATTAGTCCAGAAGGGAAAGTCCGCACGATCTGCTGGGCGGCCTGTGGTTCGGAGAGTGGCTTTCGGCGCGCGCTCACTGGCCGGCGCTCGTGGGGACGATCCACGCTGACAGCCGGCAACGCTGATAAGGCGATACAGCGCTCCCTCGAGGCCTCATGTATAATGGATTCGTACCTTTTGGGAAAGTCTATGCGTCCAGGTGCTCCAGAGCCCGGCTGCAGCGCCACTGTCCGGCATCTGCTCATATATCTCCTCCGGCCGGGAGCGACATGAGCGTCGTGGACCGTAAACAACTTCTTTTTCTCTTCCTGGCGTTGACGGAAAATGCCTGGCTGGAAGAACGCTCTCCTCCTAGGGCTGGCCGCCCTCGCCGGCGTTCGTCCTGCTCTCTCGCACGCTCACCATGACGAATCCGAAGTGGTGCCCCAAGACAAACGGGAGGAATTGCTTGAGAAATGGGAGCAGGAGGTACGTAAAGTTACGCTGTGTTGTATAGCATAGGATGAATGAACAAATCTATCTAACGATTCAACAACAGTGGGGGTTTTCCGGTATCTCGACCTTTGCTCACATGCAGGCCGTAAAATGTCTTATCGAGCCTGATGAACGGTACGATATTGCTATCATCGGGGCTCCCTTTGACACCGCTGTCAGCTACAGACCTGGTACGTATATTGATATCCTTCTTTATCTATCCCACCCCCTTATCTAGACTCATCACGGTCTATCTACCTGTATTGTCGAGAAAAATAAGATAGAAAACATTATATAGATAAAATATGGGCCTGTCATAAGACTCCAGACTCTTGCTAACAATCTACCAGGCGCACGCTTCGGGCCCCGCGCAATCCGCGCCGCCAGTGCCCGCCAGCTCCCCGGCACCAGCTACAATACGCGAGCAGGTATCAACCCGTACAAGTCCTGGGCCACACTGCGCGACTGTGGTGACATCCCCGTCACCCCGTTCGACAATGCCCTGGCGGAGCGTCAGATGTACGAGGCCTTTCTCGAGTTGGGAAGCCGCCCTGCGAAGACCCCGGCCGACTCCAAGTACGGCACCAAGGGCATCTCCGCCGGCAAGCCCAAGCTCGTCACCCTCGGCGGAGACCACAGCATCGCCCTCCCGGCCCTGCGCGCCCTGTACCAGATCTACCAGAAGCCGATCACCGTGCTGCACTTTGACGCTCACCTGGACACGTGGAACCCCGGTCGGTACGCCTCCTACTGGCTGTCGGAGCAGTCCCGTTTCAACCACGGCAGCTTCTTCCACATCGCCAGCACCGAGGGCCTCATCTCCAACACGACGTCTGCCCATGCCGGCATCCGGACTCGCCTGACGGGCGTTGATGACGGCGACTACACGAACCCAGGCCCCGAGCAAGGCTTCATCCGGATCCACGCGGACGACATTGACGAGCTGGGTCCTGTGGGAGTGGCGGAGCGCATTATCGAGCGCATCGGTCTCGATCCGGAGCAGCCTGTGTATCTGTCGGTGGACATTGACGTCCTGGACCCGGGCACTGCTCCTGGCACGGGAACTCCGGAGCCCGGCGGCTGGACGACTCGCGAAATGATCCGCATCCTTCGGGGTATCGAGAAGCTGAACCTGGTCGGCGCAGACATCGTGGAGGTGAGCCCGAGCTACGACAATGTGGGTGAGACGACGGCCCTGGCTGCCGCGCAGGTGGCATTCGAGATCATCACGAGCATGGTCAAGGCCGGTGCCGGCGAGGATCTCGGTGGATGGTATGGCCGGAAAGACGACGCAGATGTTCTTCAAAGCGGCAAGACCACTGGAGATGACAGCTCGTCAAAGAAAGACGAACTATAAAGAAAAAATTAAATAAATAAAACACCCATTTCGATCACCAAGGTCCTTCGAACAAAATACCGATGATGGACAGTAGTGTACATATATGATTGATAGCTTTAGGTAATGCAGTGCAAACGAGAGGACGAATGGATAACCCCATTGCCGTTTTGACTTTGATTCTTCTTTCTTCCCCTTTCTGCAGAAACCGACAAAGTAGGGAGGTTAGATGCGACAATAACGGTCCTGTAAAGATTTTTTTTTATAAAACATCGCATTGCAACATAAAGATAGCTAGGGCACAGACCTTTTTTCGCCCCAGATTGATAAATAATGGCCGAGGCTTGAAAGATACTGCCAGTCGCTTCGTACTTCCCAGCTTGCTCTCCACAGAACGTTCCAGCCACTAAGGATAGGAAAAGGGCAGAGGGAAGGGTGAGACAAGAAAAGGAAAAGTGTTTCATTCAGATCTGTAGCTTGGCTTTTTATCTGCTAACATTTGAGGCTGTCGCTTGGCTCCATCCGACAGAAGATAAGAGAAAAAGGCGGCAACGCAACATAGCGCAAACTGTAAACAGTAACAAAGGAAATCAAAAGAGCTTCCTTGCTAGCCCTGACTCGCATCTCCTGCGCGGCTTGGCATTCGTGCGCTGCTCCGCAACCTTTTCTATCTCGCTGGATGGCATTGGGGAACTCCAGGGACCAAGAGATAGAGAGGCATGATAGACCCTGGTCTTATGGGAAGAAAACGTTCAGAAACAAGCAGAAAACGGGTATGAATTGAGGGGCACATAGGGGGAAAAAAAAGGAAAACCATTTAGCCGGCCAACGAAACATGACGCCCAGGACTTTAAAACGCCGATAGAGGATGAGACGTAAACAATCCGAGGAAAGGCTCGAACGGGGGTAGTCTGGTCAGATAGTGGACGGGGAAAAGACGCAACATGAGAAATAGGAAAAGGCAGAACGTCGGGTGGGAACGCCTGTCAAGCAGGCTAAGACAACTCCTGGGTCCACGAGAGGATCAGGCGAGTTGACGGTCGCTCAGGGAATCTTTCGAAAACCGAAGAAACAGGAAAATGGCGGTATCTCGACAGAAATAGGGAATCAAGGGAAAAGGAAAAAAAAGGAGGGCGGTGACTCTACGAATAACGTGCGGTCGAAGTATCCAACGACAACACTGGCTTACCAGGGATCACGCCGCCGCGAGAACGAGCCAGGAAGCCAAGGGGGACACACAAAAGAAAAAAAAAGACGACCTTGAAAAAGCGAAGAATGGAATGTCTAGGCCGCGATGTTTTTCAATCCTCCCAAAACCAATCCCAACGTATCTACTCCGGAAAAAAAAATCTCAGTCAAATAGAACGCTTAATTGAGAGCTTGGGGGAAATTAGACCAACCGGAAGCGTTGAACTTGTAGCTTGATTCTGTAATCTACAGGAGGACACACTTGGACTTCTTCTTGGGGGCGGGCTCGAGCGCAGCAACAATGGCCTATCGAGAAACACATCAGCATCCACACGTAACAAAGCAATAAAGCTAGGCTGGCATGAAATGATCATAGACGCCAGGTCGTACCTCATCAAACACATCCTTCAGCTTGTACTGCGTCAGCGCCGAGCATTCCACGTATTTGACGGCACCCAGCTCCTTCGCCATCCGATCACCATCCTCCTTGCGAATAGGCTGCATCTTCTGCTTGGCCAGTTTCTCGCGGACAACTGGGTCATCACGCAGATCGGTCTGGGTGCCGACAATGAGACATGGCACACCTGGGCAGTGGTGGTGGACTTCTGGGAACCACTTTTCCCGGACGTTCTCAAAGGAGGCCGGTGAAGTCACAGAGAAGCAGACCAGGAAGACATCTGTCTGTGGATATGAAAGTGGGCGAAGGCGGTCATAGTCTTCTTGTCCAGCAGTATCGAAAAGTCCCAGAGTGTAAGGTTCATCACCAATCCTGTGGTTGGAAAAGACACCATGATCAGTTTGTGTCCTAGCAGACACAGACAAAAGGCCATCCCAGGAGATGGATTCATCGCGAAACTTACATCACAGTCACGGCATAATTGTCGAAGACGGTTGGGACATATTCAGAGGGGAACTTGTTCGTCGTGTAGGAGATCAAGAGGCATGTTTTGCCGACCGCACCGTCCCCAACAACCACACATCTGTAAGGAGCAGGGAGAAACCCTTGTTAGATCACAGCCACAAAAGTCCCAAAAAACAACTTCCAGGGAGAGAGTGTGGGATGCTTTGGGCAATGTGAGGGGCAGAGACGCACTTAATCGTGGCAACGACCATTTTTGTTTTTCCTCTTGTGGAGGCTGTCACACAAACGCCAAAATAGCCGTTTAGAAGTGTTTTTGAAAGAAAGGTTCGGTGCTATTGGGTCGTGAGACTTTTGCGTTGAGGGGTGAGGATGGAGTCGAGCAGCGTTGGCGTGTGGTGGCAGCGACTCTGTGGGGTTTGGGAGGTGCGCAGGTTAAGACAGTGGATTAGGATAGGAGAGGATAGTGGAGGATAGACGCGGTCCGGAATGGGGTCAGGAATCTGCTTGGCCCTTGTTGATTGTCAGGCTGTCACCGTGTCGACGTTTGGGTGAGACCGCTGGCGATGGATGACAGATGCAGGAGAAGAGGCAGGAAGCTGCAAGAGTAGCCTGCACAGTTAGCTTATTTTGATTGCGGTGGTCTCCAAACGCAAGGCCTGGGGGGGACTGCACACGGGGCCTTCAGGCATCCGCAACCTGCGGGAAACAAAGGGAGGACAAACGCACTCGTTGCGAGAGGAAATCAGAATCAACAGGTTGACAAGACGTGCTTGCAAAGCCTGCTGCTGGAGGAGACAGGAGACCTCGATGGTGGCGCCCTGAGTGGTGGATGGAAAAGGCGGACTCCGGGTCCTCGAAGGGGCAGTGCGGGCGGGCGACTCTGGAGGTTTCGGGAGTCGAGAACTTAGCACACGGCAGGGGATTAGATAATGTGAGAGCTTTGTCCGCGACGGCGATAGCTAGGGGGCCCACCGCAGCAGCTCTGGAGTCGCACGCTGGCTGGCAGTGAAAAACNGCTATCTACACGAAAGAAGAGGGAAACAGGAGAAAGCAGGCAGTAAATGGCACGGTAGTGTTGTAGCGAGCTGGCTGCTTGCCGATGGCTGGAGGAGAGGCAGTCTCAGGGAGGCGAGCAGGCGCTACAAGAATTCCAAAGTCCACAACCCAAGAACCCAATGTGACGGCGTCGAGGCCTTAGCCTGAGGTACCTAAGCAACTCCCCGTCGGTCTGGCAGAACCTCCTATTAACTCAAATCAAAGTCGCTGCTGCTAATTAGAGTCTGTGACAGCGAATGGCCCCTCCAGACAAACCCAAAACTGACCCTCTCGGTTCTCATTTCGCACTCGGTCTGTCTTCTGGCACCACAACACCCACCCGGCTCTGGACTCTTGATCCGTGATCCAATGCTACCGCCTCCTCTGGTGGATGTTGTGTGGCCTGTGGCCTGTGGTCCATGGCCCGCTCAGTGCCATCACTTCACACTAAGTCTGGCTAGCTCCCTCCCTCCCGAGATACGATAATAATATGATTGCACTGTGCAAATCGTGGCCCGTGGGTTTCAAATTGTCTGTGTGCATCCCCTCCCACAATTACCATCGAGTTCCATCTCTCTGCCGCTGTCTGCCCCCTGTGTCGCTGTGTCTTACATACGAGTACACAGAAAGCAGGGCCAACAGCCGGTAATAGTCCCAACTTGGGGAGTAGAAACTGCTGCTGCTGGCTCAGATTTCTTCCGCTAGACGCAGAAAAAAATGCAGAAAAAAAAACTTACTCCGTAGGACCATTCCACTCCCTGCGCGTGGTGCAATGTCCCCCTTCTACGGAGTAATAATGAAACTGTTTCAGGAACAGGCTAAACCGTACTCATCACAACACTGCAACAAATACTTGGCATCACCAAAATACCGTTATCGGATAGGTCGAGTCTCGTCACAGACTCGCGAGAAAAAAAATTCCTGTCAATTCTCTCTACGAAGTACAGTGCAAACCGCAGCAATTTTTAAAATATCTATTAAACATTATTTATGACAATCACTAGCCAAATGACGAAACAAAACAAAAACAAAAAGAAAGGCGTATATTTCAGCCGAAACACCGGATAAAACGGGGCTCATTATTGCTCCTGGCCTAGGAAATTGTCATTATTAACGTGTTTTAATTATATACCACGCGTCTATCCCAGTAGCGCGAGGACTTAGCCAAGTAGTAGTAGCCGAGTGACTCCTTCGCCCCCTAAAAATGTCCACACCAATCAATCCATCACCGTTTTCTTTTTCCACTCATCGAGACCTACGTATGCAGGTAATTAGTTTTATTTCGAATATTGAAGAAAGTGGTGGTATAGAGCGCAGAACTTGGTATTCCCTTCTGCCATGCAAGAAACGTTTGATGTTTTGCAACCCGGAATTTCTAGCCTCGCCATTCTGATTCAAGCCCTCTTTTTGTCTATTATTTAGTACTGCCATATGCAGTACGGTTTAGCCTCGGTCTAAAACTGCTGCATTGTATATGACAGACATCAAACGGTCCGAGGTCCAATTCGAGCCAGCAAAATGACCCCAGAAGTCTCGCAGAAGGGAATCCACCCTCGACTTCTATCTCCCAGAGGGTCTAGACGGTATAAAAGATGGTTCCCAACTCCGGGATGAACCAAATCCATCACAGTCATAACCCGTAAGTCCTATCTATATGAAACAATACAATACTCGAATGCAATTAACAGAAAACAACAAAGGTAAATGCAGGATATGCAAGTCGTGCAGAAAAAGGCCTTACAACACCTTTGTGTGGTGTTCAGTCATCCTGGGACCTGCCTTCTGGAGACCTTTCCTCCTGGACGCGTCCTATCATTATTCCCTTTCGGCCCTGGCTCATCTACTATGGTTAGCAATTTTTCAGAACGGGCGATATCAGAATGAAAATTTCTTACCTTGTCGAGCTCATAGTTACTCATCAGCAAACTCAAAGGAATTATGGGGAGGGAGACAAGCAGCGCCAAGCACAGAAGATTATTCATCGTCTCCTGGTAGGCTCGATTAATAGCAATCCGGGTGGGCGATCCCATGGGATACGAGAGCGCCTTCGTGAGCTTGCCAAAGATCTCGTCAGCGTCTGCCTGGCTTTCCGGAGGCAGATACGCATGTAGTTTCCTGGGAATCTGATGGGTCCAGACAGCACCTGAAACTGCAGCGCCAACAGCCCCGCCCATTTCCAGTGCTGTCAAGAACATCGCGGTGGCCGCGGCCACCTCCTGATGGTGAGCAGACGCTTGTACGCCGAGTTGGACTGGAACATTGAGCAGCCCTCCGCCGGTGCCCACCATGATCTGAGTTCCAAGGATCTGCAAGACAGAGCTTCCTTCTTGGCGGTAGAACAACATGGCCAGCAAACCGCAGATGTAAATGACACATCCTGCCACAACAAAGGGACGATAGCGACGAGTGTACTTGATCAGGACTGACACCACAAATGCTGCGATGGTGGAGGTGAACGCGAAGGTCTGGGTTACGCGGCCAGCAACAGCGACATCATAGTTTTGTACGACTTGCAGATAGGAGTATAGGTACGGCTGGACAGAGAAATAAAAGGCCACTAATAACCAGTCAGTGACAAGACGTCAAGTGGGAGTTGAGGGTGGTACATACTGAAGTAGAAAAAGGCAAGCGCGCATCCTGCCAGGACGGTCCTTTCGGTGAGAAGGTGCAGAGAGAGCAAAGGTTTAGGGGCGAGCCGTCGCGATGATTCCCACATCGGAAAAACAATGAGACAGACAAAGCCGATCGAAATCATAGCCACAATGCCGTCACTCTTCCAGCCATCCTTGAGGTTGGCTCCCAGAGTGAGGGGGATTAAGATCAACGTAAGAGCAGCCGAGAGCAGCAACAGCCCAAACATGTCAAGATCGAACCAAGTCGCCCGCAAGGCTTCCCACCATTTGCGTCGTCTGTGCGGCTTCACTTTGATCAACCTCAGCCTTATAGCCCTTCTTTGGTTCAACAGTAATGAGAGGGCGAGAGGAAAGAACGCGGAAGGCAAGATGATAGCCCACATGCCATACCCCCAACGCCATGAAGTCTGCTTGAGGATCGCAGATGCAACTGTCGGACCAATCCACACTGTTAATAGGAAAGGCAGCTCTGGCAAAAGCGCGAACAGCGCTCGGTTCAACAGGCTGCTGCTGTCCGCGATGAAGACTTGTTGAAGGATTTGCAAACCCGTGGATCCCGCAGAGTAGAAGATCTGAGCCGATGCGTATGTTTGCACGTTCGTCGACGCAGCCATTTGGATATATCCAAGGACATAGATAAGGATACTGACACAGAATGCCTCGAATCTCCCAAAGACATCTGCTACCTTGGCCATCGGAGGCTTGATCACAGCTGCCGGATGTTAGCACATGGGAGCAACGTCGTTTCTTAACCAGGAACCGCGGTCTTACCGTTGACGACATTCTGCACAACCAGGACAGTGGATATCAACGAATGCTTGCTGAAGGAGCTGGTAGCATATACAGCCAATGACGCGACCGTTTGGCCTTCCAGAGAGGTGCAAAAGGCCATCAAGAAGATGCTTGGAGCAGGTTAGTCGGATCCGTCGCAATCAAGCGTGGGTTACTACTAACCCCAAGTATGCTATGATTAAAGACCGCTGCGTCCAGGTCTGACTGATAGCCTCAATCTTGCGGACACCTTCCTGGACATCGCCATCGGAAGAAGTATCCCCTCCTTCCGTCCCAACATCATTGTCCACCTCGTATGTTGAGTGGGAGTATAACAGTCGCTCATCCTCCCTGCCATCCATCGGCTCTTCTGAATCAAGAGTTCCGTAAGAGATACGAGAAGATACGTCCAGCATGCTCATGCCGACCGCCAAGCTCAGCTTCCTTAAAAGAGTAGAAAAGGTCCGTTCCCTCTTGGCCCTGTTCTTTCGTATTCCTTCCAAAGGCTACCCAACAGAGTCCATATGGAGGGTCTTGCGGCGGACGGCGGTGTCGGGAACGAGTAAATCGCGACGTAGGAAGCGTGGACAGGATTGAGTCACCAGGCATCAGTGTATTAGGTAGGATAGCTCGTAGTCTCAGAGGCGTTGGACTCCCTGGCGCGTTCGTCGTTCGACCTGAACCAGTCAATCAAGAGACGGTGGGCTGAGGCAGGAAGGCAACCGGTGCTCTGCGCATGGAAATGCAAGAAGGAACAAGGAAAAATTAAAATTTAAAAAACGACGGGGGAGAAGCTCAGATAAACGCAGCGCACTGCATGGGCTCCAACAGGGCAGAAACGCAGCCACACAACGTGGGCACTCGGACCCTTGTCGGATGGGTGACAGTGCGCGGGATCGGACGGCAGCAGGCGCTGTAGCCGCTGGTATCCCGGCATCCCGCAGCTAGGAATCTTGACAGAAATTGCCCCCCACGGCTAGGGCGCCGAAACAGACACACAATTTCCGGGAGATATTATTATTTGGGTTCCTGAATATCCTTGGCGAATTACGAGCAGTGCACCACCCAGGGATCCTTGCAAGAAAAGTGATTTGGCGCCGGTGGTACGAAGTCGTGCGTCACCTCTGCATGATGACTGCATGGGCGTGGCGAGGTCTCGTTGGGGGCGAGGGAGGGGGGTTTGATCTGATCAGATAAGATCAGCTGAAGGGGTCGCGGGACTCGTGACTCGTGACTCGTGAGCCTATGGCTTCCCGCTGCGGAATGTTCCACACGCTGCAGCCTCTGTGAGGACGAAACTCGGCATGACCAAGTGGATCCGTGGGCCCTGTGGTGTCTGTCGTTTCCTGATTCGTGCTGCTGGTCTGCTAATGACGACGTTGTGGTGACAAGAAATGGCGATGGCATGCCTTGCTTTCAGCAGACAGCGGGCGCTGGACAGATCAGACGTCGGGTGTACCTGTTCCGGCCGGATAGCCGATGACGGCCCAGAGGTGGCACCTGCCCACCTGGGTAGGTGCCCCCTACTGGCCAGAGCATGGGACAGCCGTCATGTTATTTGCTTCATGTCTTGGGGAGTATATGGCAGCATAGCCGATCATTGACTCCGTACCTAGGTATTCTCGCCAGCGCCTGCATAATGATTTTTCCGGCCGAATGGGGCGCAAGGGGCTTACACGCCCTAAGTATACGGAGTAGTGGACAGTCGGTGTCTGTCGGGATATCCAAGCCCGTCGAAAAGCACGTGCCTCAGTCTCGGAGCTCCTCGTTTGAGTCACATCGATCAAGCAGGCAGGATGGTCAGAAGTATATGGAAGACTAAAACAAGAGAAGCATCGGTCTGATTATTTTATTACTCAGAAAGGCCCAATCGCAATAACGTGCTACATATATGGTGTTGTCTACCAAATTGCCGGCTTCTAGCATTGAAAAGACAGAAACCCACTTAGGAAAGATGCTCAATGTGCCAGAGCTGCTACAGCCTGTGCCGAATCTGCCGATACGTAGATTGTCAATGGAATGGGTGGCACACGACGGTCTACATTGGTCATATTGGCAACCATGACATTGACAGCGTGGAAACAAAATCCTCTGGAGACGTTCCTGGTAGAGCAGTAGTGCTAATGGTCATAATTTGTAGATTACAAGAATTTTCGTAAGGGATACTACGGGGAGAATCGTATGGGCTCCTATCTCTCGAACATACACGTGATTCGAAGAGGACAACAGTGACGGCAAACATCACAACTCCCTTTGACTGCAAACACGCCATTTTTATTCAATGACCTCGATGACGAGGTGTCGAAAGTCGACAACCAGATCCTCACCTTCCTTCGAGGGCTTCGCAGCATATGTCCCAATCCAACACTCCTTGGTCGCCTCGTCCTCAAACGCCCAGGTCACCTCTCTGACAGGAGAGCGCTGAATTCCCTCCACCAAGTATACCCACAGACTGCCGTCTGCTTCCCTGGCGATCTCGATCGTGGCTGCGTTCCCTCCGGATGGAACGGGAAGCAAACTCCAGTCTGCCCATCTATCCTTCGCTACGGTGCTGACGTGTGGCTTTCCTTCAGTGAACTCGATCCCGGTCTTGATCCATTTCTTCTCGTCTCCAGGCCCGTGAATGACCAGAATGAGACCCCCTTGGTCGTAGAGCGTCTTCCAGTTGGCAGCAATGGCCACACGTGCCCGCTTGAAAGACCTTAGGGGAGTGACTTTGTAGAGAATGGGTGCATTGAATCTGGTGGTTGAAGGAGGCTTGGCCCAGACGTCTGTCGACGGAGGAGCTGTTATAGCAAAATCTACCGGAATCTTCTCATCACTTGGAACGCTCTGAGTGGTGTTCGCGAAAGTGAAACCGGACATGGTCTGGTAATTATTGATCGAGGGGAAGGACGGCAGATATTCGCTTCACCAGTTTTGATTCGCACGGAGATCAAGATTGGACAGTCTTCCAATATGAAACGATCAGCGGCTTTGGGAATATAGTTCAGAAATTTTTCTTTAATAAATATTGCAATTCAGAGTTGTTTGTTGTTCACATAGATATATCTGTCTTCTCCAAGTTCTACCTCAGTAAAGTTGGAATCATGACTAACCATGGATGCGGGGTAATTACCCGTCAGAGCCATGGACCCCGCGATTTTAAAGTAAAGACAGCAGTTCGGAGTAAATCGTCAGATCCAGCTACACCGGAAGACATTCTCGTAAATGATGTCTTCAAGTGGTCATAACGTTCATTATACCGTTGTCGAAGACATCAACTCCGGAAGATTTTCGTTGTTACTCAAGGCACGTGGCGTTCTGAACTCGACGACCACGTCAAACCAACCCGTGCCATTAGAGTCGTACAGACGCCTAGGATACTTCATTTCGGAGATCGACTCCCGATTATGGAAATCTTGAGATACCTCAGGATGGAATGCTAGTATTGGTGCCGCCAGAAACTATCTCCGTATGTTAGCTGGGTAGCTTAAATTACCAGACGATTCAAAAACGATCGTCTGACGGTCTGACACTCCAGAGTGATATCTATTAGGAGAAAAAGAATTAACCATTTATAAAATAAAAATTCTAATATTTTTTTTTCATAAAGTCATCATGACACCATCATCACGAAGAGTGGTTGGACGACAGCTTTGCGCCCCGCATGGCACAGTAGCAGCGGCCGAGCGGGCTTGGCAAACGGCCCCGGGAAGATTCCTCCGCAGCCCCATCGGAAACCAAAACCCCGACGCGTAACACCAACTACCACCCCCTTTGATGCCCGTCCTAGGCAGCAGAGTATTGGATTCTGGGCGATCTGAACGTATCAGGGGGCCAGATTACTGCTGTTGTAGCAGCAGGAAAAAAAAGTGCCATGCAATTGTGAAGTAACTGGCGAAGTTGGGTAGCCAGGTATCGGAGACTATATGGACCACTAATAAGACGACCACAAATCAAAGCCGCAATCTGCTCGGCCATAAATACAAGCTCTGCGCAAAGAATGAGCTTATCGTATTGAACATTGAATTTCCTGCATCAAGCAGTTCTATAAGCTCATAGAACGTTCCTGTGGGTGTGGGTTAAACTGCTAGTGCGGCGCCAAAGACCAGCTTTAGTGCAAGCTATCCTGTTGGTGGCGCTGCGGCCTACGCGGACCTTCCTGTTTTCGTCACGTCCTTGTTTGAAAGAACACTGCCAATCTCTCTATCAATGGGAATGAGATGCGCCATGCTTCACCATGTCCGTTCGACTTCTCCATCCTGATGAGTATGAGCTCCCCGAGCGGTCGTCCATTGATTCTCAGGAAACCTTCAATCTCGATGACGCCGACTTCGCCTCGCATCTCCTGAACAAGACCAATGGTCTTCGACGCGAACGGTCCTTTTTATCACGCCTGCTATCAGCATCGCTATCCGGATTCCGTCGAATAGCACGCTCTCCGCGACAATCGAGACGGCGTGCAGCATGTCGTGGTCGTCGGATATGCTTTGTCCTTCACGTGCTCACGGTAGTCCTCGTCGCCCTCATCATCTTGACCTTCATCTTCCGACCGTCGTACACGCATCTGCCACCGCATTATAAATCTCTGCGACAGTCGGTGCTACAGTCAAATACTCCTGGTAGGGGCAACCCCCGGAACGAGAAAGTGTTTATCGCAGCCAGCCTGTTCGACCAGGGAGGGGAACTGGCACGAGGGCAATGGAGCCAGGCGGTGCTAGACCTGATCGATCTGCTGGGGGAGGATAACGTGTATTTGAGCATCTACGAAAACGATAGTGGGGAAGAAGGAGAGCGTGCTCTTCGCGAGTTTGACGAGCGCGTCCCATGCAACAAATCCATCGTATTTGAGGAACATTTCGACCTCTCGGTGCTTCCGACGGTGACTCTTCCTGATGGGTCAGTTCGGACAAAACGAATCGCGTATTTGGCTGAGGTCCGGAACCGAGCTTTGCGCCCCCTTGACGAAGACCTTGATACCCGATATGATAAACTCCTCTACTTAAACGACGTGTACTTCGACCCCTTGGACGCAGTGCAGCTTCTATTTTCGACAAACATTGGTGCTGATGGGGCGACGCGATACCGAGCCGCCTGTGCAGTCGATTTCATAAACCCATTTAAATTCTACGATACTTTTGCCACCCGCGATCTGCAAGGCTACAGCATGGGACTACCTTTTTACCCCTGGTTCACATCAGCCGGCGCGGGTCAAAGCCGACAGGATGTGCTGGACCAGAAAGATGCAGTCCGTGTCCGCAGTTGCTGGGGTGGTATGGTAGCTTTCGACGCGAAGTATTTCCAAGGGCCTGGGACGAGGCAAGACGGCAAGAGCCCTCGTGATCGATCCGCTGAGAGGCGATTCTTCCAAACCACAGACATCCCACCAAAGGGGGAGCGACGTGGTCCTGTTCGGTTTCGCGCGGAAAAGGATCTTTTCTGGGAGTCGTCTGAATGTTGTCTTATCCATGCGGACATCCAGGATACTCCGACGAGTGTCGACGAGATCTCAGACACCGGAATCTACATGAATCCCTTCATCCGGGTCTCCTATGATCCCGGAACTCTCTCCTGGCTTTGGATTACCCGGCGTTTGGAGAAGCTTTATTCGGTCGTTCACGATGTTGCCAGCAGCATCGCAGGCTTGCCTATGTACAATCCCCGCCGCACGGAGATTGAGGGCGACCAGGTGGAAGAAAAAGTTTGGATGCCTAATGCGAAGGGCGACGGAGATGGTTCCTTTGTAACCGTCAAACGCATTGCCCACAACGGCGGATTCTGTGGTCGCAGAGATCTCCAGGTTGTGGTCATGAACCGTGAAAAAGGGCAAGATGGCTGGGAGTCGATTCCCGTTCCACCACAGTAAGCACTGTTGGTGTGAAGAAATGAGCATTTCATTTTCTATTTTGGTTTTTGCAGGGCAGGCATCACGGGAATCTTATGTATAGGAAACTCGATACCCTTGAAACGGCATATGGTAGTTCTGCAGGGTCAGCATGTCTGATTTATGATAGATTTTGTCTTGGCAGCGACTTGGTTATATGTATACCTAGGTACTGTGGAAATTTCCGGTTTCGCGATCAACTTCAAGGAATTGGCATAGACAGGCGGTGACTTTTGCAGTGTAATTTACATGCTAATATATCTCGTTTGTCATTCCGTCCTAATATCTGCTTCGATTGTCGTTTCTTCTCGAAAGTCCATTTACCTGATCATCTGGACTGCTATATATTAGCCTTGATTATGACCTACCACGAGACCTGACCTCCAAACTTGGGACGATCCTTGATTTACGTCTTGAATAAAGGTATCTATCTATGATTCCATTAATAGCTACTTCACGTCTAGCCAGCTTGCTTATTCCACCATCTCATCAATGGCCTGGATCGATAATATCATTTTTCTACTGTATGTCACATCGCCACACCAGCTCACCGCTAGGGTTCTGAACCTGATATTCGTACTCATTTCATCCTGAACTGTCGTGGAGGCATTCCTGTTTAACTTACACACAATATGTAGAGGCGAGTATTCACGCACCTGAAATGTAATCAGAGGATACTCAACTCAGACCTTGTATCTATGTACTATGAGTCGAGTTACTTCTAGCAGCGTTGACAGAAGACAACTTTTTCTTTTTTTCGCCCCCAACATGTGAATCAAGGGTCCTGAACAGGCAGATATTCCCAGAAGAGTTCCTGAATCAGTCTTGGTAGAGGCCAAGGACTCTCCCTAATAAGGTCACCATGCTGGCCCTTTTCTGATCTGATGATCATCAAGCAACACACGGCAGTCTTTCCAGCTGTGTATTAGACTACTCTACTCGAAGAACGCAAAAGCAACTGCTCTCTCTCTCTATATTGCCTCACAGAGCAGTTGTCACAAGGGTCCTTTTCGGTGGACTGTCCCTGGAGATATATATATATAACTGCTCCTCTCTAAGCCGCAGTTCACCACATGGAAAGGGAGAGAAACCGTGTGATATAATATATATGCCCTAATCTAATCCTATATCTGACACATTCTCAGACCTAATTATGACCTTTTCAGCGATCATCAGACTTTATTTTATATAGCGCACCATCAACATTTTTCACATTCGTTGGTAGATGAAATCAGTCGAAAACAGAAACTGACCTGCAAAGACAAAACTCAAAAAAAAAAGATCGCTGTGGCTGGCAGAAATGATACATAAATATAAATATAACCATGCGACTAATATAATATTGATCTTCTACCTCTTCTTCTTCCTCACCAACCTTTCTGATGTATCTTCATTCGATACAGTCTTTCTAGATAGTAATAGTCAATAATTGAGTTGTCTGTATATGTGAGCGACGTATGTACTTTCTTATTGAATCGATTCCATTTCGGTCTTCGTTTCTTTACACTGTAGATTCTATCTCCTAGTCTGTGCATTGAGCGGTGATGTTGTATATATCTATATATCTGTAGATAGATGGATAGATAGATATAGACTAATTATGACTATTGAAAGAGAGAGAGAAAACAGTGACAGCAGCAGCAACAAGAGAGTAATAAGAAAAAAAAAGCGTAAAGCGTACTAGCTAGCAAGAGAACAAATAGACTATATTTCTATAAGAAAATCTATATGTCGAAATAAAGAATGAATTATATCCATGTCTACATGCCTATTTGTATGTGTATGTAGCTTTTTCATACTCTAGGACGCGTTCTATATCTCATATCCCATTAATGATTGTACATGCAGTACTTATAGTTATAACTATAGTATAAAGACGTAGTATCTATTATCCACGGACATAAAATTCAAAGGTTCACTCTTTCTTCTCTTTGAGATGGTGATGGCCATTGGTAATACAACTACAGAATACATGTACTGTAGAGGTACCCCCTTCCTGTTGGCTGGTTGAGAATTACGTCATTACATCACTGTCTAGGGATAAAGCAAACAGACAAACAAGAAAACAAGCAAGGAGGTCTTCGAGACAAGGTCATTGTGCTGTGTCTATGTGGAGGATTGAATCATGTCTATTGTATGTATGTATGTACATGGTGGTGCTGGGTTGTCTTTCGTCGTTGGCGACTTGGACTTGACTGGTCAATTGCTCATGTGGACATAATGTAGGTACAGTACACGGCCATGCCCATACCCATGCACACGGCAAGAAGTCACCGAACCCTAATACAGATGGGTTGTCTGTTTGTCCTTCTTCTTTCCCAATGTTTGCTGTTTTCGTTCTTTGTTCTTTGTTCCTCAATTGGAAGCTCTTCGTTTGTTTGTTTTCCATTCCACCTTTCTCCCCTTCTAACCTCTCTAAAAAATGGAATTCTACGGAAATTATACACATGCATTAGATAATGGGTATGCGGGGACAATCCTCGCCAGGATTTGTACTCTCCCATACGCGGCTTTGGGCTCCATTATTGCCAATGCATCGGATGCTGATACTACCTACCTTCTCTGTTTATCTGCTTGTGTCCGGGTGCTATCCAAAGAAATGGTAACCAAAATTCTGTCATACTTCCATCTGCCCGGGCAAGGGAACGTACTGGTTTCGACCAGGATCCTGGCATCAGTTTGATCTGAACGTTGGAACCCAACATGAAAATAAACCCCACTTGTCGTTCCTCTCCTTCGGGCCTGTATCAGGCAGGCATCCCTTGTGTAATTCCCTTCACGGAATTTCCTAGTAAGCAAAACAAGTTGCACAAGAATAACATGCCTCGAATCACTGAACTCTTACCCCGGGCAGAAACCAGGGCCCATTGATGTGTAACTATCGAGCGTGGTGGATGAGCTACGAAGATTGGTAGGAAGAAATTTGGACGCATCACAGACCAATGTAAGACATCCTTGTATCGAAAGCAGCGCACTTGTTGAGGTCCAGGGATCCAGTAAACAGGATGAACGAAAGAGAAAAATAATTCCTCGCAGGCGAGTAGATGTTACTGGCAAGAACCGCGCTCGGCACTCCAGAAGCCCAAAGTGGGGCGTTCAAAAGATCATCAGGCTCTACATTGTCTGTATTAGGGTATCCCTGGTAAGCCTGAGTTTAATTATAGGTCAAACGTCGACAGAGTGAAACATAAAGTACGGAGTGAAATACAAGACTTCACAAAATGCATAGAAATCAGACAGATTCGATTTCAGAGACCGGAGGTTCTTGCTTCAGTTCTGCTTTGGTCGAGTTGCCACTGTGTTTCCAATTGTCCTTTACTCGTACGCATCACTTGTCACTGAGTAGACATTTGAATAGCCGAAAACCGCGACAAGGAAATGAGTCACTCTGACTTTCCGTCAATGTAATACAAATTGGGTAAAACTGACGTACGATCGAGCAACACCGTGGTGGTACCGTGGTAGCACCATCAGCTATACCCGTCAAAATGGTTACAGGTACCTGGATCGCGGGTCGGAGGGAACCGAGAAAAAGCAAAAACAAAGCACATGGAGATCTCGCATCCCTTGGAACCGATATACCGTCTGAAATGTGTCAATTTGGTGCAAATGCAGGAAGCCGTACTCGCGAAGGGCTCATCTGTCGATGATTGGGTTTCTTTGTCAGAGAAGCAAGGTGACGATCTTGGAGCTCATTTTTGTGTTTGCAGCGTGGGGTTGACTTGACATACGTTAGCACTTTCTGTGTTATATTTTTGGATATCACACTTTCTTTGTAAGGAGATGCGTGCATAGACTCCCCAAACGAAGATATTGCAAGCTATCAGGTAACACAAAGAAGCGAGGAGCGTTGAAAACCGCAGCGCGTTACCTGATTGCTTAACGCAGCTACAAGTTTCTCTGCTGGCACCAATGATATGAAGAGATCAAAAAGGTTTGATCCTGAAACAAGATGGTGTTTCAATGATCGTTTCTCAGACAAACGCCTCCCGAAGAGTTCTCAAGGCTTGTCGCCCTAGCCCAGAGCGAAGAGAACAAGACAGAGGGAACGGGAAACCACGGCTTTGTTGCAGTGTGCACAGCGATGGTTTGTTGGTGGACGACAAGAGTATAAGGATTGTGTACGGAGTAGTTTTAGAAATGGCAAGAGCACTCTGCTATTTTTTGCCTTGAGGGAAGGACCAGATTCGTCACCACTCCTTCCCGTTGTAGAAGCCGTTGGCGATTTCCTGCTTTCCTACCCAAGGCAGTTGACATACACCATTGACCACTCTCACAAAGATGTTCCTCCAGTTAATTCTTCAGGCTGAACTATGAAACGACGCAGCAGTCTTCAGAAAGACAATCGCCACCTTTTTTTTCCACGCCTACCGATTAACTCCTGCAATGCTCGTCGTGAGGACCCCGCACGAAGCAACTGACTATGTGGCGCGGCAAAGTCAAATGAAATACAATGACAATGCCAATGCGGCACAGTCATCCTTCAATCAAATTGTCAGGTTTTTTGTCCTTTTTAAAGTGGATCCCGTCCACTCAGAATAATACCACCTTCTGCTAATGCCGCTGCAGAGATGCCCCCACCCCATACTACTCCGGCGTCGCAGTGGTCGACTATCGGACCCCTAACAAGATGAGGTTGTGCAGCTGAATATAACCTTAAAGAGTTTCATTGCGAGTCAGACCGTTGAAGAACTAGGAACGGTAATGACTAGTACGCGGTTCCGCAGTGATACTCAATCTGTCCAGATGACTACTTGGATATGTAGAGTGTGCGACACGTATTGGGTTCAAGGATGTCTTGCAATGTCTCTATGCATCGATGAGCTGGCCAACTTGCGCAAGTTTTGCATCCTCACACCTGCGGAGAATTTTCGTGGATGAGCTTCGAGTTGCGAGACGCCTGTACGGAGCAGTCGGACTGGAAACCTTCCGATCAGGCTGCAGACTGACTCTTTCTCCAGCACGAGGGAGATAAATAAGTGGTCATTCAAACCATCTGATCTGTCTGGTCAACTTCTGACCAACAATGACTCCATTGAATGGTTCTCGGTTGGGCTCCACCCCAGACGTTCAAAGCCATGCATGTTCCGGACCCTGGATGGAGTAACTCTGCAGAAAAACCCACGGAGTCTGGGCTGCATAAACGCGATTGGCACATGGACCTGAAGTATGCCACACACTTCATGCGCAAGGCCTGTTTGTGATGTGAGTCTTGGAGGACCAGTTGAAAGACGACTTTCCCCCTTACGGATGGTACTACGCATTACTAGTGTGGGAAAGGTGGACTAATATCCGGCGGGTTTTTTAGGGACAACAGGCTGTCGTTCGCCGCCCATGTGGACTCAACAAGCCGAAGCCCTAAAGGTAACAAGCGCGCGTCGTGAGCTGTATGGAGAAGCCTACAACAGTAACTAAAGATTCGAAGTTTCGAGTTCCTTTCGCTTGAAAAAAATAGATTCATCTGACGCTACGCCGCTGCAGCGACCCAAAGCAAGCAGGCGGCACAGCAGGAGGTTACCTGGGTATGCACCTAAGTCTCAAACATGGTACTCCTGTGCCTGTGATACAAGAATGGTTTACTGGGCCACCCATTTCCAAGGGAACCCCCACCGTTTGAGGACTCCAGCACTTTTTCGACAGCAGGTGGAAAAAAAAAAGGGGGGGGGGGGGGGGGAGAAGACAAGAGAACCCGCAGAAAATAGAAAGAATGGGGAAAAAAAAAGACGACTCATTTTTATGACGTTTGCAGAAGGCGGCGAATCTTACTCGGCTGATCCCTATATTAAATTAATATCCTGTCATGAGGAACAGCCCAAGTTGGGTAGGGGGAAATTATGGCGCTTATTAGCCCGGCGGCTACTTCTTGAGATATACATAGAAAGTCTCCTTGAGTTTTGACTCGAGTTGTGTTAATTTTGGCTCAATTACCGTGTAACAGCATGGGTCTCGAGGGTTTCTGGGGCACTTCGCGCGTGAGGGAAGCGCAAAGATCGATGCACATTGCAGGCGCGCAGCGAATCAGGACTGGAGAAAGCCGAGTAGCGTTGTTGGCAGTGTCATCAGAGTGCCACCTGATCGTTGCAAACGTTCTGAACAAACGGCAGGGACTGATTCTGGACCATGTTGTGCAGCAGGGGATATTTCGAGCCACTGACTGCGTTGTCACCTGGCCACTGTTATGAGATTTGGAATTAAATTGTATCTATCATCGAGGGTGGCACCATGAGAATGAACAACCACACCTAGGAGTCGAAACTAGCTAAATGAACCTGCCTATCACATCAGAGTGCGAGTTACACCGGAGCGCACACGATCGAGGGACCCTGGACGGGGTACTCTGAATGAATGTACTGTACTGTACTGATTTCCTCTGTTAGGGCAATACGGTACCATCAACCTAAAATGGTGTTTTGTCAACAATCATCACAACGTCCAATGGATAGCCCTCAGAGACCCTCGAAGGATGATTAACCATCAATAAGAGAAAGTTAGAACTTGTCGAAAGAATGGAAGAAGGCAGGCTGCGGGGAACCCCTTGGTACTGCCTGTCGAGTCACCTGACTTGAAGCATCTGCGGCCTGCCGTTGAGAACAAAGAAAAAGAAAAGGCAGGCTGGTGGCTAATGAATAGGAGAATAGGAGAATAAGGGAATGCAGGCGCAGCGAAGTCGAAGAGATAACTGCTTCTGTCACAACGACTCTGGCGAGAAATTATGCCATGATGATCGCCATCCATCCAGTCCGATCCCAGTGCCTCACAGTCATTGTATTCAGTCGTTCTTCGCCAGCCACAGTGGCACAGAGAATTTGGATAATACAGAACGGTTGACACCGAAAAGTCTGATGTAATGAGCGCCATGGCCCAATGCTGATAATCTCGGGTGAATCGGGTCATTAGCTTCGGTTGGATACCTGGCCGCACCGATCTCCCAACGACGAACCATCCATGTTCCGTATCCATGGCGAAGCTGGGATTTAGGGCAGATCATCTAGGGCACGAGCAGCTCAGTCATTCTCTCCCGTGATAACCGACCGGACGGCACAATCCCTGTCCAAGGAACACAGCGAGTGTCTGTGCCTGCTGACTGTACCTTCAGGAACATAATCATAATGCTGTAAGAGCAACGCTCCTTTGTCGGTACGGTATCGCGTGCGGTACGGTAAGGAACGGTACGGGCCGCTTGGCTGCTTTCGGCCGGAATGGACGGGCGATCCCCCCCATCGTTCCTCCGTTCGTTCTCCATCGGAGCCACACCTGCGCGCCCCCAGGCCGAGAACTCAGCCATCACCGCGCGATTGCCTCCAACTCCAGAGCCTCATTTATCGTTTCATCATTGGACCCTGTCAGGCAACGGCCGTGGTCCACTACAGATCCATTTGGCTCGGTGCGTTGCTAGTCCGTTCGTAACACACCCCTAACTGACTCCCTTAGGCGGCAATTGACAGACAAAGAGCTCCCGGACTGCCTGCCTATGGCATTTCGGCTTGTTGCGGCGCAGCACAATCGAGGGATGCTAAGCTTGGCGGGCAGCATGGCGTCCCTTCGCGACGTGTCTTGGATCCCAGAGCAGCCCTGCTCGACCAATCTCCCAGGCAGCATGCAGCGTTGTGCTGGCCACCCTTGACGTCTTCAGGCTTGTCGCGCGGCAGGCCTGTCACCCCGTCTTCTTGCATTTGTGACGGTCGCTTGTGCCCATTGATCCTATTTGCCTCTTGGTCCCAATACCACGGTTCAGACGCAGAGCCACTGCATGCTAGAGCTCGCAGCACCCAATCGACCCTCGATGGCCACGTTGGTTGTCTCCATCCTGTCTCTTGGGATCATCTCATTTGTTCGCCTCCTGTTCAGTCCGTCTCTCGCCCGGCCGCAATGACGAAGACGGTCGGTGAAAAGTGTTGACGACCTTGCATGGCTAGCCCAAGAATCTGGTTTCCAGCTCATCTATCACGTTCCCCAGTGTCACTGCCGTTGGGCCGGCCAGCAGCGAGATTAATAATATCAATCGTCAAGCTGATCGGTGGATGATCCTCCGGGGAATAATCGGCCATGCCCCTTCGGGGTCTCCACCGTTGGATCTCATTGTCCTGCATTGCATGTCGTGGTGGGTGTCGATACAGTTGCCCATGTCAGCCAGTCCGTCAGGATGGGACCGTAAATCTGGTCATTTTTGCGTCTACCCTAGCGTTTGCTTCATCTTCATGCAGGGCCTCTAAGCGCCCTGGTCTACCGAATTTGGGGCAATAGTTTGTCAAAGACAGGATGATGCGCCGCAATGTTGCTTTCCTTTCTTTGGTCCAGAAGCCTTTCCCCACCTTCCAGTCTTTGGCTCTTTTTTTTGAAGTAAATTCCAGCTGAAGGCCTTTGTGAGCCTTTACCCTGGCCATCTCGTCCCGCCCATCGGTGTTTTTGTCTGATTCCTCCGATACCCATTCTACCGGGGTTGGTCGACGACCTGTCATGCCTCGACGATCCGCCAGTCCATAACAGGCATTTAGGGTGATGCTCTTTGCTGCTGAAAGGACGACGAAACTCTCTTCCTAGACATACCATGCAAAGACTCCTCTAGGGGTTCCTGGCATTTTGACGTGTTCGAATTGCTAGGAATCTTCGGCCAATCTGGTCCCTCGACCTCGCGGAATAGTGTATGACGAGCCAACTCTTGATCTCCGAGATCTGCTGTGATTTGGTTCTGGAAACTGGGGAGTGTGCTTGTTCATCTCTTGTCACGGACGCATCCGAGCCCCTTCTTGCCACCGGGACCGCGCCATTAAACTGGAAATGCGATCTCCTTGGTGTATTGAAGTCGATCTCCGTTGGATCTTCTGATTCACATGTACCACAGGGAGAAGTGATTTGCCTAGTCCCTGCCTAACTGCCCAGCACTGACACTGGAAGGCTTTCCTTTCTAGACCCATGCCGTCTTGGTCGTCAGCTGCGCTTGTTACGGAGTAGATGAGAAAACGTTCCCCTGCATTTTATGTCACCCTTTGAGCCTTTTAGCGCGCGCTCCGGATTTTCAACTGGTTTACCCTAATCGGTCATAAATGTCTTGGATTTTTCTTCAGTGACCTGGAATTTTCTCCCTCCTGGCATCACGCTAGTCATAGATCTCAAATATCACAGAGTTCAGTATTGTCTCCACTTACAGACGCTCCCTTGTACGTGCCTTGTTCACTTTATGGCAGGCGTCTGGTTTCACAACGACTAACCACTTCTAGGCAAACTGGAACGTACACATACGAGGATCGACCGCATAAAGGTCAGGTCGAGTCTCCGTTTGGAACCTGTCTTCTGTTCCTGAGTTGCCATTCGACAGCAGTCGACTTGGAAGAGCTGACGATCTGGCCGAAGATTGGGGAGCTCAGGTCAACGGGCCGACCCTATGCAGTCCAGACGAAACTGTCTTCATGCTGTCTCCATCTCGAAAGAAACTCTTTAATTTCGAGCACCCTGACCGGGGAAATATACGTTTTGAACTCTCTTCCTCATATTGATTACAGTCCTCATCGCTGTCACTGAAACGGCCATTCGAATCATCAAAGATTCGGACTGATTAAAGGACGAAGAATGCTGCGTCTTCAAGAATCATTATCCGAATCCCGCTCCACGCCGGTGCGTGGTCGACCAGATCGGATATCCATCGATGCGCTTCTTAATCCCGCGGAGAGCGAGGAGACAGGCTCCCAACAGCCTAGAACACCCGACCATCAGTACCACCACGGTTATCAGAATGGCCAGTTCTCGCCTCGCGAAGATTTTCGGTACCGTCCCGAACAATCAACGCCTAGTCGTGAGGAAACGTCCTTGATTCGCCAATCGGGGTTTGACCACGGAGACTCGGGACAGTATCGGTATGAGCGGTTCGATTCGGTATCCAGCACCTCAACCAACCCGACCGAGAGCCGTAGGCCACCCCGGCCAAAGTACGACGAGGAAGAGATGTACTTCATATGGTACCATCGCGTTGACCTCGAGAAGGAATGGAAAGAGGTCCAAGAGTGTTACAGCAGACAGTTTCCTGGACGTCAACGGCGTGGAATCCAAGGAATCCAGTGCAAATTCTACCGCTTCATCAAGGAAAAGAGATGTCCGACGGTTCGGGAACAACGGAGACTTCGCGATGGCGAGTTCATGGCACGTGGCAGATCCCGGTCCAAATCACTGCCTAGATACGGAGTGGTTGAGTGGTGTGGTGCCTGGTACCCGTGGATGAAGCCGGAGCATGTTGCGCATTTGCATCGTTCTCAGCGACAACCGTTGATGAGTACGATATGAGAGCAGTTAGCAGCAACTTGCGGAGTGGGCAGATTATAGATTCGATCGGCTGGTCTACATCATCGTCGTCGTCGCCGTCATCCTCTTCATCATAACATCCGCTTTTCCTATTGCACCAATACCGCCGCTGATCGAATCCGCGTTGCCTCTCAACCATTGAATTCATCTACTCGTCACACGAAATGAACACCTATCTACATCTCACATTAATCTAGAAAGGAGGAACATTCTACACAGCGCAAGGCATGGAAGAATTGTCTTCATTAATCATTCATTGACGGATAATAAATTATTGATGGAGGGAAGGGCCGGTCTAAATCTGGAGTTTCATTTATTTTGTCTCATTTCATTCATCTTCTTGTTGCTCTGTCTTCTCATTTCATTTCCTTATTTTCCTCTTTTCGGAGTATCGCGCTGTTGTCTCATTGTCTCATTCATTGTCTTGTCTTTTCTCGTCTGTCTTGTCTCATTACCATTGATTTGACTGTACCTGTCGTGTCATTACTATCGAATGAATGACAAACAAAGAAATGGAATGGAATGGCTTTCTTTACCTGGTCTCGGCGTATTGATTATATTACATCAGGAATATTATTGTTACTCAGTCAGTCAACTGGTCAGCTCGTTCCGCTTCTGTATTCTACGTATGTCTTATTCAACCATCGACTCTTGCTTATTAGGTAGTTAGGTAGTTAGTCTCTTGTTCGTTTTTCAATTCAATTTAGTTCCATGGAGACAGACAGACAGGAATCCAAAACCAAATCCAAATAAATGGGCATTATTCCTACCTACCTATCTAGTACCTACTACCTGTACTACATGAAAACGGAGCCAGAAACCAACCTGCCATGCCAGGTATCTACCCTTCCTAGGTAGCTACCTACCTAGCGAGGTAGTTATGTATTTTTTTTATTTTATTTATCTTGCCTTTCCTTGCCAACTCAATTCTATTTTTTTTTTCTCGTTTAATCTTATTTTTTTAATTTATCTCTCTACCTACCTCTCTATTGCTGCAACTCAGCGAGTGAGCGACTGACTGACTGGGTGACCGAACAGACATTTAATTAAACAGTCAGTAGAAAGACAAACAGACAATACTTGAGATAAGTAAGCAAGTAAGTCTTGCATTGTATATCCAGTTGACAAAAACAAAAAGGATTATTTAATTTTTTTCACGCAGTAGGCACTACGGAGTATACTGGCTGCTAATAATGAATGCATCGTCATTATTTATTGATTAGGTTGACAGAACATAACGGAACAGAACAGGACAGAACAGGGGTAAAAGAAAAAAAAAGAAAAGAAAAGAAAAGAAAAAAAGGCAAAACAAAATAAAGAAACAGCCACGAAACAAAGCGGTTGCAAGGTAGGTATCTATACACGTACAGTAAGTATATCGGACATCAGAATCAGACATTTTCTCTCTTCCCCTTTTGCGTACTTTTCTTTTTTCCTTGCTTTCAAGGGTATCTCTCTCTTTTCGACAAACCAGTCAGGACGCCCATGAATAATAATAATGGAATTACTATTATATCGTCATTAGTCAGTTAGTAATCGTCATCATCTTCATTATCACCGTCCTCATCGTCGTCGTCATCGTCGGAATGTCCGCGTCTACGTCCACGTCCATATCCATATTGATAACGGCCGAATCCATGCCGCTCCTCTTCGCTGTCGTACTCGTTGAGATCGTACTCCTCGTCGTCTGAGGCCCCGTGGCGATACCGGCTGTAGATGGCGGTCGGGTCGTCGAATTCATCGGCCGACGAGAGCTCTTCGTCGGGATAGTCGTTGGCGGGGTTATCTTCGGCTGTAACGAGAAAGACAGTTAGCGTTTTTTTTTATGACTAAAAATGGGATTGTGCAAAACGCAGCGGAATGCTGATGTTGATGTTGATGCTGATGCTGAACTTACCATTCGAATCCACATCTTCGCCGTCCCAGTTCTCCTCGTCTACCTCGTCTTCCGCAAAATCGTCCCAGAGATATTCATCCTCTTCAGTAATGACCACGACACCAATGTCCTTGCGTGTCGGGTCGATTCCATTCTGCCGCAGCAAGGCGTCGTCGGCTGCTTCCAGGTCCAAGAGAGGATTCGTGAGCATGGAGCCAGCTGGCAACGGCCGTCGGATGTAGGTGTCATAGACGTAGTCGCCGTCGCTGTCCTCGTCGGCCTCATCCTTTGCAGTGTCCTGGGTTGTCGCAGGAGCTGGTGGTGCTGGCTCCACCTGCATGGTGTCTTGAACGCCGCCACCAGCCTTAGCTCCAGGGCTCAAAGTCCGTGATCTGGACTTCGGCGGCTTGGGCTGGTACTTCAACGGCGGTGGCTTGGGGAACACAGGCCGGACAGTTGACGGGCTAGGTGGAATTGGCTCTGCAGGTTTCATCTCCTGGTCATTCTGCTCCAAGTCCAAGACCACTTGTTCGAGTTCCTGCGCCAGTCGGTCCAGATCATCCGCCCCGTCGTACTTAGACGTGATATTGGCTTTGGCCGCCGCGATCGTAGCTTTCTGCGACTCTCTCCAGCGCTTCTCTGCTTCGTTGACAACAGGGCGTTTTCTGGGACGGACTGGCTCCTCCTGAGCGTCCTTTTCAGGTTCTGCACGCTCGCGCGGAGGACTGGTGTCGACCGACGCATCTTCAGATTCTCGTGCAAGTTCCTCCAACGCTGATGCGGCTTTCACGGATGGACTACGGGTGAGCTTCTCCACAAGCACTGCTTGAGCAGGTACGCTGCCCTTCTTTTTCTGGACGCCTCCACCGGCAGCTTTGAGAACACCCGTAGACCCGAGGGACCTAGAGATCTGGAATCGCCGCAGAGACGTAGGAAAAGTCGGAGAGCCACTACGAGACGACACAGGAGTGTCTCTGCGCTTCGACTTAGGCGACGGTCCACCCAGCGAACCGCTTGCTTTGCGTGAATGCGGAGTGGATTCCAGGGCACGTTTCCTCCTCTCCTCCACTTCACGTCGAGCTGCAGCACGCTGCCTCTCTTCTCGGAACTCCGCGCCAGGAGAAGTCGCCCGCACAACGGGGACCCCTCCTGCCGTAGCACGGGCCGAGGGAGGAAAGCTGGTGAAGGCAGAGCTGCTCACAGACCGCGGGCTGCGCACATTCTGCTTTGCAGCAGAAGTGGGAGGGGTAACGGCATCCGAAGGACCATGGCCTTCATCGCCATCGAACCGAACCCTCTGGAAGACAAAGTCTGTGAACCGTCTTTTGGTCTGATGCAGTTGGGACTGAATATCTGTAATGCATGTTAGTCTGGTATATCTTAAAAATAAAAAAAATTAAATAAATAAAATCCATCCACGTCGAGAAGATGCAGATAGATAAAGAGAAGCATGGGATGGAATCAAAAGGAAGATCTCCATACAGAGTGTTTCCACAGGCTCCTCCTCCCTACGACGCTTGATCTTGATGTGCTCGGGAGGCAAAGCCATTGTGCAAGTCGAGTGCGATTTTGTCAGAGAGAGTCTTGTTGTGATAAGTCGGCGATGGTTTTTTGGAGATTGTATAAAATGGCATGGCGACGGGATAAACATGGACTAGCAGTTGTGGCGCATTCATTCACTGGGTCAGGTCACGTGACCTACTCCATGCCCCAGTGACTGCTTACTTCACAGATACTTTGTAGATACAATTACTCTAGAGAGTAAACCAGAGTTGACGACAGTGTCATTTCATTGTATTGCTTTCCAAGGATTGCTGCTACCTTGTAGCCCCAATTCCTATCTTCCCTTCTTCCAAAACCCTCAATTCTCATTACCTCCACACGGCTCTGACCTCCCATTCCTTCCGGATCCCATGTGGACCTCTTCGCTCAGCTATTAAGAGTATAAGAGATGGCATCATAATAACAAAATCGGCAGAAGGGAACATGCAAGAACAGAACAGAACGGAGCTCAAACCAGTCGAGGGTATAGCCGACCTCCTCATCTCCATGTTGCAGACTTGGGTCGCAAGCTGTGCACACCGCCCATCAGAGTCAAATCTTCGTAGCCAGCTAGCAATACAAGGTGTTAAGAGAAGAAGAAAAGATATTAAAATGGACTATGCCCGTTTTCCTTGGAAAACGAAAAAAAAAATTTAGACAAAATGACCGTAAAATCAAACCAATACACGAAGCGAAAAGGATAAAATAAATAAAAAATAGAAAAGAACGGGATAAATTAGATAAAAAGACATAAAATTGTGAAATAAATGCCCGGCTCTTAATGTGGCAAACTTGGTAAATCAAGAGAAAAAAGAAATAATAGTAAAATTAAAAAAAAAAAGATTAGATTAGTGGATTACTTCGCCCCGATCTCCTCCTCAGCCCAGCCCGGAAGAGAAGTTTCGTTCTGAATAGCGAGGCCAAAGCCATTGTGGTTGAGACCACCTAGGGCGGAACTGAAGCTGGAAAAGCTACCTTGGGCCTGATGGGTCACTCCCGGACGACCCTGAGACGGTTGGCTCGAGTTCGGTCCAAACGGCTCCTGGGAAAAGGAAGGCAAGCTGACAGCCCGGGAATGCTGGACGCGAGGAACACTGAGGCTGTTGCTGCCAGTCGCGCTGTGCTGGGTACTGCTCGCGGGAGCATTGGTCACATTGAGAAAGCCGTTGCCGGAAGGCTTGTGCTGATGTAAGGAGGAATCCACCACCCGGCCGTTGGCAAGTTCACCGGTGGCAGCACCGTCATACAAAGCAGCCTGCTGGTTGGCAAGGGCTTGTTGCTGTTGTTGCTGCAACGCTGCCAGAGTGACCGGATCCGTCAGACGGTTTTCCTGTTCCTGCTGGGCCTGCTGTTGGGCCTGCTGCTGCTGTTGCTGCTGTTGAGCAGCCATGTGGTTGAGATACATCGTCAACGGATTGTTGGCTCCAACATTCAAGATCGACGATGCAGACGCGACGGCCTGGAGTGGGTGCCGGGTCTGTCCGCCTTGCGAGCCCGTCGAGCCAGGAGCTGGCGACAGCGCCGGACGAGTCGGACTGGCTTGGGATCCTCCTTGGCTGAGGTTCTGCTGGAAGCCGTTAAGCGCGGGGGACGGGGACTGTGTCCCATCCAGACCCGAACCACGATTCTGCTGCGCATTGAGAAGCTGGCGTGGAGGGTTGCCGCAACGATCTTTACCAAAGTTGATCTTGAAGCGTTTGTATTCCTCGCGATTGCGCATGCCTTCAATTGCCTTGATGGCGTTGGCGATGTTGGTGAAATTGACAAAGGCACAGTTCTTCTCTCTTAAGGTGTTCACCAGCTCAATTTCGCCGTATTCGGAGAAGTCCTGACGGAGCCGTTCCTCCGTCCAGCTTTCGTCCAGGTTCCCAATGTAGACGTTCCGGGACGCTCCACCGCTGACTGCGAGGGCAATCGCGGGTGGTAAAGCGCCCGAGTGCTTGCCCCAGCCGATCTTCAGCCTCCGGTTATGGATCATCAATCCCTGCAGGTTGCTGAGCGCATAGAACGAAGCGGCGGACGTCGGGTCGACAAAGGTGACGAAACAGATATGCTTATCCGGAATGTAACGGATGTGATGCAACAAACCGCCGCGGACCACGTTGCAAATCTCTTCGATGGTGGTTTCTGGATGGATATTGCCGAGATAGATGGTCCGGTTACCGAGGTTGTTCACGCCTCCGGCGCTGGTAGCGACGGCGGCCGCAGCCACCGACTGTTGGGCGAGAGCGTTCGAGATCAGATCACGGTCCGCGCTGTTCAAGATATGTGCATAACCGGGAGCGATGCCAAGGTACTGCGCAGCATTTTGCTGCTGCGTCTTGGACACGTATGCGCAACGGTCTTTGCCGTAGAACACCCGGCGCGGAGGCTGCCATTTCGGCTCCTGCGGCAGCTGGGACACGGCCTTGATGGCGTTGCTAATCGACAAGAAATGCACGAAAGCAATGTTCTTCTCCTTCACGATCTTGACCGTGTCGATGGGACCAAACTTGCCCAAATCTTCCCGGAGCTCGTCTTCCGTGATGTCCTCCGGCAAGTTTCCAAGATACACATTCCTGGAGGCACCCGACTGCTGCACTGCCACGGCCACCGAAGTCGGGACCTGGGAGGGCTTTCCCCAACCGATTTTGATATCGTTGCCCTTGATGGCGAGTTTCTTCAAGATGGCGTCTGAGTGGAAATGGGTGGCAGAACTACTATCCAAGAAAGAGATGAAAGCACAGTTCTTGTCCGGCAACAATCGGACCGACTCGATCTGGCCGCTACGAACATGGTTCAGGATCTCCTCCGCGGACGTCTCCGGGGGGATGTTTCCAAGGTACACCGTCCGGCTCGTTCCCGAGAGGATCCCTGGACCAACAGGGACCGATGGGTTCGCACCACCAAAGGCAGCGTTTCCCAAACCCGGGAAACCGCCGATCGGAGATTGGGGGCCTCCCAGAAGCTGGGATCCGCCAAAACCTTCGGCCGACATGAGGTTGGAGTAAAGCGGAGGAGAAAGGGTGTTCTGCTGCGCCTGGGTCGGGCTACCCAGCTGGTTCTGAGCGCTCTGAGCGGGAGCGGAGGGATTCGCCTGCGAGAAGCCGCCGAAATTGGCGAACTGGGGAGACGCAAAGGCGGAAGGGGTTCCTGGCTGGAAGGGACTTCCGAGGAGCAGCTGCGATGGGAGTAAAGGGGTGAAATTCATATCAACGGCCGTCCCACTTGCGGCCACGTCGTTCCCGTTCGGGGTGGCGGGACCGGTGTTGATCGAAGGGATATTGGCCCGTCGAGAGTTACGATCTCCTAAATTCTGGACAGAGGGGTTGTTCGAGGCAAAAGCGCCGTGGGAAAAGCCGGTGTGATCAGCGTTGACGTTGGATAGCTTCGAGGCCGGAGGAACTAGACGAGAATTCTTCGGGACATTCGAAGCATCCGACGTTTGCATGGCGAGCAAGTGCGGCGGCAGGACAAGGGTGTCCCGGGGGTTGGACGAGAGCACAGCCGTCTTGACGGTGGATGAGGTCCGGGACCTGATATCACCGGACACACGACGATGCACACACGAGTAGGGGCGTACTAGCAGAGCTCCAGCAAGTGCAACAACCTCGAATGGGGACCCCGTGGAGACAGAACAGGAGAAAGGGTGAGATCGCACACAGGGGGGGGGGGGGCGCCTGGAAACAGGGACCAGGAGTCAATGGAATGCGCCTCGGGAGATTGGGGGAAAGCAGGACTCTTTAACGCACCTCGACGGCTCAATGCCCGAGAATGTCGCTACAGATTCAAGCGGTCCGAGAGGCAGAACACGGAACGGCGGAGGATGATCCAGATGAAGACGCCAAGTTCACTCTTTCCTGGGATATACGCTTCGGGAAATTATAGCCGCCAGTCGGGGAGATGGGACAGAGCAACGGCAAGGTCGGGCGACCAAAACGAATGTGAAATGGAATGATTACGGACCAGATGGTTCTGGAGGATGGTAAGAAAGACCAAGTCCAAACAAGAGTCAAAAAAGGGCACGGGCAGAAAGAAAAAAGGAACAAAAAGAAAAAAAGAAAAAGGGGTTAGGCGAAAAAGAGAAAAAATAAGTCCGATATTAGAGAGCGAGCGGCGACTCAAACTAATTATAAAGAATAGGTAGAGGAGAGGGAAAAGAACGTGGAGAAGTAAGGAATGGGAGAACGGTATGCAGAAACGACCATGTACCCAGGGGAGGGGAAGGGAGCAGAGACAGAGAGAGGGAGAAGGGGAGCAGAGGAGAGCGGAAAGAAGGAGAGAGAGAGAGTACGGAGTAGGGCAGGACCAGGTTGGCTGGGAAGAAAAGAATTAGCAGTGCCTTAGTGTCTTGGGACTTGGGCCAGCAGGGCAGGTAGGGCTCCGGGCAACTGGACGTTCCGGTGGGGGGGGGTGGGCTTGGGATCTCCGGAGGCTCAGGGAGGCCTGGTGCGGAAGCAGGGGGGCCATGAAAGTGAGAAACCAGGGACGGAGAAAAAGATAAAGACCAGAGAGCTGCCGTTGCTGCTGCTCTCCCAGCGCACCAGGAGATTACAGGCTGCTGCGAGCAGGGGTGCGTTGAGCTGCTGGGCCTGCTGGCTGCTCCTGCCGGGATTGGGGATGATGCGCAGCGTGGAGAAGGCCAGGAACCGGCTGGCCAGGGGAATCATTGAATGGCAGGCGCCCCCGAGCACAGGGGCGTTTAGGGGCAGGCGCCCGCAGGCCATGCCTGCTTTGTCTAGCGGCTGGGGAACTGGCATGCCGCCCGCTCCACCGTGCTTGGCATATACAGGAAATCCTACATCGGCAGTTCGACGACAGATGCTCTGTATATGCTTGCACGGAGTGTGCTCTGTACCTATGTAAATGTACAGAGTAGATAACAAATATATCGACTGGACCATATCAGCACCCTGACACGTCAAGAACTAAATGCTCAACAATCCACCATACTCCTATCCACGCACCACGCCAGGTGGCTCTCGACCGACCCACCAGCCCTGCTCTCTCCTGAGCCATCCATCCGGACTCCTGGCCGCAGCGCGGTTACGCGAAACGTGGTTGAAGGCAACGCCTGGCTTCTCATTGGACGAGAGTGACTGAAGAGGCCAAACAAAGCTTTAGTGTCCGCACTCTGCACGTTAATCCGCATCGCCCACGCTGTCCTGCAACAATAGCGCCGAGGATCTTCATGATGCACATTCGATAGTCCCTTGATTATTTCCTCGTCTTAAGTTTCTCAACAGTTTTGATGTCTGTTGTGGACTGTCTGTCTGAATAGAGACTAGAGGGAGCGTGGCTTTCCATGGATCCAACCCCTGGCTAGCATCGCTAGCTGCCGTTGCACTGGCGTTTGTCAAGTTTTAACCATCCTTTCTTTTCGTATTCCACCTCTTAACCTCATTGGTCTCATAACCTCATTGGTCTCGCATATTAATCGTTTCTCTCGAGGTGTTCGTCTGTAGTGACCATTATGCTGTGCGTCATTACGCTATCTGGATTCTGGATCACGAGACCATACTCCGAAGGAACTGCCTGTCCGCAGTGAGCGACTGCCAATTCGCAGGCCTCTACAGAGTAGAGAGCACCGGAGTCAACCCTACTTTTCCATGAGGTGACAATAAGGCTCATCAGCATAGATAGGGACATTCTTGATTCGACCATCCTGATTGGGGGGGAATAATATTCCGGAATCATAGAGAAAACAGGTTCCCAGCACACAGGCTACAGCCGTTGATGCCAAGGCATCGCAAGGGCGCCCATTATTCGATATGACAGGCAGGATAATAGCTATCTCGTGTGCTCCACATTCCTCCCTTCCCATCCAGCTGGATAAAATAGACTGGCCCAGCGATGCTGAAAAGGGCGACATGCCACGAGTCATGCCACTCGAGCCGTCGAGCCAGACGATCGATCGATCGACGGGGGAATAATAATGTCTGATTTGCCCGATTTGCTCCCAACTTAATCTGGCATGACAGCCCCATTCCAGCAGATCTCCTGTCCCGGCGAATCGACTCGTACAAATGACAGATTACAGACTACAGATTGCTTGGCTGACAGTCGTCAGACAAGTCAGCTGACCGTTGGCATCTCAGCTCATTCGATCGATCTCCATCTCGCCTAGCTGGAATGGTTCCGACAAGTCGGTGATCGATCAGCGAGGTTATTCCGGACAAGGTCCGCAAGTAAGGGACAACAGACTGACTCGCGTGGGGAATGAGATCAGTCAACGGAGATGAAAGGGCATAGACAACGTGGCTGTTGACTGAGTCAGGTAAATACAGGTCAGTTGAGTCAGCCAGGGGAATTGGCTTCTCGGCCAGCAGTCTCGTTCAGCTCTGACAGGATGAACGGCTGCTCGAGGTCACAGAACTTGGAAAGGCTAGCAAGGATATTAATTAAATTAATTAAATGAAATTGGTTTGATTTGAATTACCTACTCTGTAGTTGTAGACTTGTAACGGTTCTTTGAGTTGGTTTGTAGGACTTTCTGCCTCAGGCATCAAGGCGACCAGCCCCTCCGTAAAAGCGGTCTGTGGGAAAATCCGCGACTCACCCCGCCTCCCTTCTGCACGCGCAGCTCAGAAAAGATCGCCAGGCAGGAGCCAGGTTTCCAAGTTTAGAGCATCTATCTCGTCCTGCTGAGTTTTTCAGGTCGCATTTGGCCTGGCGACCTTCGCTGGTATTCAAAAACAATAGGTGAGTGCCTGATCGACGTCTGAGTCACTGTCCCGCACGGGCGCACATCCACCTGAGATAATAATAATAATAATATTTACTGACTTTCTCCTGGAAAAAAAAAACAAATAAATGCAGATAGAATTTCCCTGAGATAGGTGTCATCTCATTCAATTGCGCATTGACAGACAACGGCCGACAATGGCGGCCACCGAACCAAAGACCGTCTACATCGACGAAGACGTCGGCCAGGATGATTCCACGGCGACGGGCTCCGAATCAGCCCCCTACAAAACCCTCGTCTACGCGTTCCTGCAACACCCGCCCACGACTGAGGGCATCCAATACCTGACGCGCAGGTCCCAGACTGGCCCCGTGGGCGAGGACGGCAACGAGGCCGCGCGCCTGGAGTGGAAGCCGGCCACCAAGTCCGCCATCAAGAAGGCCACCAGCCTGTGGGAGCAGCGGAAAAGGAAGGCCGCCAAGGAGCAGGAACTGGCCATCCGGGAGAAGGAGGAGGCAGAGAAGCGCCGGCAGGTCCTGGAAGAAGCCAAGAAGGTGGTCATCAAGGAGGATCCATCTCTGCCCAAGCCCGTTCGGATCAGGCTCGATGTGACGGACCCGTCGATTGTCAAGCTGCGGACGCCTGACTCGGACACCCCGGGAACGCGCGTTCGCGTGCTCGGCCGTGTTCACCGTCTGCGCTCGCAGAAGGATGTCATTTTCATCACTCTTTACGATGGGTATGGGTACTTGCAGTGCGTCCTTACGGGTGACTTGGTCAAGACGTACGACGCGATGACTCTGACTCTCGAGACATCGATGGCGATTCATGGAGAAATGCGTGCGGTGCCTCCCAAGCACCATGCGCCCGACGACCGGGAGCTGCATGCCGACTACTTCACCATCATCGGCCGCGCGGCGGGTGACAAGGAAGCCATCACGACCCGTGTGGCACCCGATGCGGACCCGCAGACGCTGTATGACAACCGCCACCTGGTGCTCCGCGGCGAGACTTCGTCCAAGGTCATGAAGGTGCGCGCCGCCGCCTTGAGGGCGTTCCGCCAGACGTTCCATGAGAGCCGCATGCTGGAGGTGACGCCGCCGGCGATGGTGCAGACGCAGGTCGAGGGCGGCAGCACTCTGTTCTCGTTCGACTACTACGGCGAAAAGGCGTACCTGACGCAGTCGTCGCAGCTCTATCTGGAGACGTGTCTGGCCTCGCTGGGCGACGTGTTTTGCATCTGCCCGTCGTTCCGGGCGGAGAAGTCGCTCACGCGGCGGCACCTGTCCGAGTACACGCACATCGAGGCGGAGCTGGACTTCATCACGTTCGACGACCTGCTCGACCACCTGGAGCAGGTCATCTCGCGGGTGATCGAGCTCCTGCTGGCGGACCCGCAGATCGCGCGGTACGTGAAGGAACTCAACCCGGAGTTCAAGGTGCCGACACGGCCGTTCAAGCGGATGAAGTACGCCGAGGCGATCGAGTGGCTGCGCGAGCACAACATCCCGAACGAGGAAGGGCAGCCGCACCAGTTCGGCGACGACATCGCGGAGGCGGCGGAGCGCAAGATGACGGACACGATCAACCAGCCCATCTTCCTGACGCACTTCCCGGCGGAGATCAAGGCGTTCTACATGAAGCGGGATGCGACGGACCGGCGGGTGACGGAGAGCGTGGACGTGCTGATGCCGGGCGTGGGCGAGATTGTCGGCGGCAGCTGCAGGATCGACGACTGGGACGAGCTGATCCAGGCGTACAAGCGGGAGAACATGGACCCGAGTCCGTATTATTGGTATACTGACCAGCGGAAGTAAGAAAGAACCCTTCCCTCCATATTCTAAATAGTGAACTCCTCCTTGCTAACTTGTCCCTCCAGATACGGAACCTCCCCCCACGGCGGCTACGGCCTCGGTCTCGAGCGTTTCCTCGCCTGGGTGTGTGGCCGGTACACGGTGCGGGAATGCTGTCTCTACCCGCGTTTCACGGGTCGTTGTACGCCGTAGATACACACATACGGAGTACATACATTGCCGGAGGCGTATGCGTATGCGTATGCGTATGCGTAGGCGGAGTGTAGGCTAGGTAATAGAATAAGAATAAGAAGATATGATATTTTTTTTCCCAGCGTACATAGGCAGGAAGACAATTAAAAAAAATGAATTTCATTTATTTATTTATTTATTTATTTACTAATTTATGTCATGACTGATTGATTGATCGCTTTATTTATTTATATCTATCTATATGTTTTCGCATTTGCTTTCATTCATGACATTTATTCATTAGTAAGTAAGATAAATAATAAGACACAAAACATACACACACATTTTTTTATCAGATCAGATCACATGAGGGGGAAACTTTTGCCTTTGTTTTGTTTTGTCTGGGTTGCAATTAAATTCCATAATAACAAGGGATAAGTAAGAAGGAAAAATAAAAGACAAAGCTCTATCTATCTTCAATCCCAACTAGCTGGTCCTGCTCGTGTCAACTCCGCCCAGCGTAGGTGTCACTGGCAGGACCGGGACGGTGTAGACCCAGCTCCTCCTCCGCTCCGCAGCCACATTCCCTCCCTCTCGCCATCGGGAGAGGTCGATGGTCGGGAGGAGTCGCTGCCTCCTGCTGCTGCTGCTGCTGCCGTGGTCGGAGGAGGAGGAGCTGCTGCTGTTGTTGTTGCTGGGACGATGTGAGGGACGACGAGCTCGACTCCCTTGGTAGCGCCAGCGCTAGTTGAGGACGAGGGATTGCGACGAGGCGGTAACGGACGGATAGTGGTGGCTGCGTAGTCGTACATGGAGCCCATGTAGTCCGAACTGCTGTTGAGAGAAGAGGCGGCCGTGCTCGGGGTGTGCGTCAAGGACGGCACGCCATTATTATTCAAGGCCGAGAGACTGGCGCTGCTGCGATGGACGCCCGAACGGCGGCCGGGCATCATCATCAGCGCCTCCTCGCCGCCGTGGAACTGCGAGAGATAGGTCCACGCCTCGGTCGACGCCAAGGAGGCCGAGCTGCCGTTGCGCCTCCATATTACCGGCTTCCATTCGGTTGGGTCCATATCTGCTTTGCTATCATGCAGATCGGAGGGTATCCGGAGGCCCGGAGTCGGTCGCGGAGACGACCCGGTGGGCGTCAGGGGAGGGACAATGGCGCGAGGAGACATGGACGGAGAAGATGGCGGACTCGTGGACGGAGACATGGTGGTGGTCGTGTAGGGGAAGGAGGCGGAGAGAGGCTTGCACGAGTCTTTACGGCGGCAACTGCAGAAGAAAATCGTCAGAGAATAATGCTCGAGAGAGGGAGGTAAGCAAGCAGATAGGGAAGAGGATATGTATTTACCTTTCGCTGCAGTAAAGGACGGCATTGTTGGGAACGGTTATCTGCTTCTCGCACATGGCGCTACAATTCCAACGTCAGCCAAGGAATGGCACGCGAGAAGGATGCACAGCACATGCAGATGCAGACAGAAGAATGTAGGACAAGAGGGACAGCATAGATAAGGATGCATTTCCACTTCAGGAAAGCAAGGCAACACGGAAAGCAGACGCAGGAAATAGGGACACATACCAGAACTGGAGGAAACTGGCCGCCATCTCGGGCCTGTCGTCGTCGCCGTCGTCCTTGACGGACCAGCTCGCCGGGCCACTGCCAGGCCCCAATTTGGAGATGGAGGGTTGGTGGTTATGGCTGGGCAGATGGGCAGAAGCGCTCTTTCGGTGGGAGAGAGCCGGCCGCTGGGGCCTCACAGAGGAGCCTTTTTTAGCATTGGAAGAAGGAGGAGGAGCAGAGGGATCGCGACGGTGGGAAGAGGGAGGTTTCATGGATGGCGGTGAGGTATTTAGTCGAGGGGGCATGTGCTGATAAGTCGGAGGCTTGTGACTGTTCCCTGGCTCCACCGCAGGGCCGGTATTATTACCCCTGAGCCGGAGGGCAGCAAGAAGAGCGATTAATCAATTAATGGCGCATACAAAGGCCAATGGGTCGGATGCGGGTTTCTGCGTGGGCGGATGTCTACCCTCGATATCCTGCTGGCCGTGTAACCAATGCAAGTACCAGATTACCCCGGAATGGCAAGCGATGAGACGCACAAAAAAAAATCGCTCGTTTCTGGAATGGAATGAGGGCTTCGTTAGCGCCGGATCGCCGTGGTTAGATGAGATAATCGCAAGAGTCATCGCTCGGGCGATACGATCACTGATAACGGGGCGTTGGGGGGCATTATTTATGGCACGGTGGAGACAGATAAGGACGGGAGAGATAGTCGCATACCTGGCTGCTGCTAATGGCAATTGATAAGGCAGTCAGGAGTGCAATTGCCAGCAAACGTGCGTGATCGAGGGCAGAATGATGGCATCCGTGGCGTAATCGCTGCTGCAAGGAGGGTGATCGGTCAGAATAAATATGATGCGAGCGCTGATGGGCGAGCACGTCAGGACGGTCTGGACTCGCCGTGGCGGTGACGACGCAGAACGCTGTGGCTGGTGTGGACGAAAGCGTCGAATCGAAGCAGAACCGGACGGTCGAGTCGCTGACGAAAACTTGTTCCCCACAGAACCCTGGGAGAAAAGACGCCGGTGGGGCTGTGACGCCGCAGATCCACGGCGAGCCTGGCCTTTGCTATACTTAGACGCGGATCGCGGCCAGGAGACAAGGCGTCGTGGAACCTGAAATCTCAGGAAGAAGAGCGCTGTCTGCCTGGGCAGAGGAATCGAGGCGATATCTTCCGACGGGTGCTACGATCTCTTAAATAGGCGCTCTTCGTGCTGGACATCCTCAGCGGTCCTCACTGTCTAGACTTCGAGAAATGATGAAACAGCCCCGTTGGCAATCGTCAGCAGAGCCAACGCCAATCAGCGCGCCCACGTTCCCCTCTGGGCCGCCACGAGCATCCCAGCGCCGCGACATGTGGCAGCGAGATGGTCGAGCGAGCATCTCTGGCGGTCTGCACGCTGCAGAGCTGCCCATACTCCATAGCATCTGGATCTTCTTACCTAAGGATATGACAGGCATTCGTCGATTCAGATACCCGCTCCTCCTAAGTTAGCCACTGCTGCAGTGCCGCGCTCACCTCGACAAGGATCAAAGAAAAATCGTGCCTGCTGCCATCGTCAGCAACATCATCAGCACCTATAGCGATCTTGGATGCAGGAGTGGATATTATCGTTTTTCCTTGCAGGGAGCTGGCGCACGAGAGCACGTCATATCATCTACTGCCGCAAACGGAAATGGAACAAGGACCGCGTAAAAGTTTTTTTTCCTTTGAAACTGAGACCCTGGCCAAATCTTCTCCTGTCTGTAGATTTTGCTCGAACCCCATCTGCAAAAGTTTCTCAACTTCAGTGTGCATCAGGGCTGGTCTGGTTTCAGCCTTCCACACGGAGCAGTGCAGTAAGCTTAATGCCGTCGAAGCTTCGGTGGAGTAGTATTACATTAGACGGCAGTCCGTCCCTAACGTCATCGAGAACATCACCCTACCAGCCAGACAGATCTTCAGCTGTCAAGCCACAATTAGGTGATTGAAAAATTTTTTAAAGTTTTCCTACCTAGTTTGTGTGGATACAAAACACGCTGTCAGTTTGTGATGTGTTTGTTTTGTTTTGTTTTATATACGCATGGCATGACGCCATATATGTCTCAGACGTTTAGGCAGTTACTGACTCATCTGTCGACTCGTGTGGAACGTGATTTCATAGCGCCGGAATAATGAATGATTCGATTCTGGACGTAATTAGGGCCGTGATATGAGTGTGAGTCAGTCGAAGCTACTAAGGTACCCAACTTACCAAAGTACCTACCTACCTACTCGATCTTGATTGATCTTCCTCATCGGTACGCGACTGTGGTACCGTACCACAACCAGTCAAAGAGGAGGGTTACAGCGTCTGTTCTTGACGACGAGGATCGAAGTTATCGAGGCCTCTGGCGTTACAATGGGCCAATATTGTCGGGTATTACGGCAATCCGGCAGTGTGAGTTGTTTATCATGGTGTGACTTGAGATAAGCAACTCTTGGTAGGAAACTTATTTGCAAGGGTATAGAAAAATTACCATATTTGATTATTTCCTCCTTGCATTGTAGTAGATGAAGATCTCTAAACCATCTCTATACGCCAATGCTTCATGTGCTTCTGCCTCTTCGCTGGATTAAAATAAAGTTCATCAAACCATCAATAAAATCTTTGAAATCAGGATCGACATTCTGCACAAAGAACGTCCACCAAAGCCGTCCCTGAGAACTGTGAGGATCACACACAAAGAGCTGTCTCCAAGGTACCTGTATTAGATTGCCAGTCACAAATACTCTGCAGGTGCCAATGCCGCCTTAATCACGAGATATCTTAACCAGTAGAATTGGAAGCAAGGAAGAATCGTTACGTTACTACCTACTCATGAACAAGAAAAACCCAACGTGAATACTGGGAAGCAGCCCTAATGGGCATTATTCTATTTCTAGGCATTTAAACACTCGCTTCATCTTTCGCTACTTGCAGTATGTCCGATGGAGAAGATGATTTCAACCTTGTAGACCGCGGCCTGGCTCAACAAGAGCAAGTATCAACCTCAGTACACGAGCATATCCGGATTCATGGGTTATATGGAACAAGATAGACTCTCACGTGTGAATGCTCGTATTCCCGTATCTAGTCGATGAAGAAGGGTATCATTATAGAGTACAGTAATAGAGTACAAACAGTACAGTGCAGAATGCTGCACATACACATACACATGCACATGCACATACATCGAGCACTATATCTAGACGAGTTGAGTCCCGAAACGCCGCTCCAACGTGCTGAAAACGAATAGAGAATAATAACTCTTCATGCCTTGTCGACCTCCATCGGCTCTCCAGCCTGGGTTGCAGTCGCCGCTACTTCGCTTCCATTCGGCTTGTTTTCCTTACCTGCTGCCGCTTGGTCTTCACCTGTTCTCGCAGCAGGTGTCTCTTTCTCTGTTTTCACGCCCGTCAAGAATCGCTCCGGCACGCCTCGTGCGGCTGTTCTGGCTCCAACGTAGCACCCCAGCATCGAACTCCAGACGTACTTCTGGGCTGTCACCTCCCGAATCTCGCGATACGCGAGCGCATTCGCAAAGGGAAGCCCCGTCTCAGGATCGCGGTAACGTGCTGGTTGAGACGTGATGGGACAAAGATGCGATGCGATTTCTGTTAATTTGTTAGCTTTCTGCTCGGCGATTTCGCTAGTATAGTATATTGATGCCAAGGGCAAACGTACTTGTCAGCTTAGGTGGCTTCTTGGAATTGAAATAGATACTGTATTCGCGGCTCTGCGCCGTCTTGTCGTCAAAGTTCTCAAGAATGAGCAGATTCCTACCTGTCTGCTCAACCACTTCCGGGGCTGGAGGCGCAGGCGGTTCCGTTTGGGAAACGGGAGCCGGCTCTTTGTCGATGTTATCTGCTGTCGATGGCTGGTCTACTTGCATTGGCTCCGTGGCCGGGACTGCAGCTGCCGGAGAGGAATCCGAAGCTGGCGATTCTGTCGACGGGAGTTTGGGGAATGCAGAAAAGTCCTCCGTTGCGGCCTCCGCCGACTTCGGTATGGAGCAGATAGGCTCAACAACAGCTGATTCCGTCGTTCCGTCTGCCGTCTCAGATTTCTGTTCTTGTGAAACTGGAGCATCGGAGGTCGATTGTGGGACGCTTTCCGGTTTCTCTGCCTTTGCATCGTTGGAGGCCGAGTCTGCAGGTTTCGATTCCGGCTGCGGTTCTTCTTCCTTTGACCGAGTCTCTGACTCCGCCGGTTCGCTAGCCGTATTCTCTGAGCCGGACGCTGGCCCCGTCGAAGAGGCCGCAGGCTCCGCTGTCGATGCAGAGGTTGGTGACGTCTCCGGAGCTGCAGGCTGCTCTGGCGCAGGTTTGTCTGACTTCTCAGAATTGTCAGGCTGAGATGCGTACATGTGGATACCGTCAAGTAATCCAGCAGGGCTCTGAGATGCAGTTTCGTTGACGCCGTTCTGCGTCTGACTCGCAGGAGTCTCTCCAGGCGGCTTCTGCGCATTTTCGGCTCCAGTGGGAGACTCATCTTGAGAGGGCTTCTCTCCAACAGGCGGCTCCCCTTTCTCCGTCGATGGCCCAGCAGGAGGATTCTCTGGGGGATTTTCTGCCGAGGTCGACTCCTGCCCATCAGCTGCAGCAGGTTTCTTCTCAGCCCCATCATTCTCCGCATTCTCTTCTGTTTTCTTTTCACCCTTCGAGGGATCTTGGTTCGACGAGTCCTTGCCCCTTTTCTTGCGCTCTGTCTCTTCCTTCTCCGGCTTTGGCTGAACGTCGACTCTACCCACACGAACGAGCTTGCCGTTCACCCATTTAGCAATGCCACTCCACCACGACAGGACAGGCCCCTCGAGACGACGGTTTTGCAAGGCTTCCAATTTGGCCTTTCGTTCTTCAGCCTTCTTCTTCTCCATCTCCTCCCAGCGATTCAAGCTTTTACTATTGATCCGCTCGACTCTCTCCGCCTCGGCCAGACGTTCTGCTTGCGTCATCACCCTAGGCTTTAATTTCTCCTTTCTCTTTGCAGCTTCTTCCATTGTAGCTAAAAGTTTGATTCGCCTCTCCTCACTGCTCTTCAGTCGGGCTTGGGTAAGCTCCTTGTTCTGCATCGTTTGGCGACGAGTGGAAGACCGCGTCGGGGCTTCTTCTGGAGTATGCAACCACGAGGTACGCTCCGATTTCTTCTTCGGTCGTTGGGGAGGAGTAGACGTTGTCGACACGGCCGTCGGGTCGATCTTGACCTTCTTTCGTAAGGCAGTCAACTTCAGCGATTCCTGGGCTTTGCGCTTCTTGGCCAGACGTTCTGCTCTAGCTTCGCGCTGGAGCTCCCTTTCACCCTCGAGATCGTCCTCTGCCGCATTTGGGCCTTGGTCTTCGTCGTCCTCGGAAGAGGAGTCCAAATGCATGTCCTCGGCATCTTCGGCACCGCCTTCGTCCAGGTCGAATTCTTCGTCATTCTCATCCTCCGCGAACAGAAGAGCCAACTCATCATCCGCTTCAGCATCGAGCAGGGTGGACATATTTCTCCCTGCCGTGCTTCGCTTTTGTCGCCCTGCGATCAGAGTTTCGACCTCCTCCGACGATGATGATTCTTCCCCCGCCGAGACGGGGGTTTCCTCGTCTGCCGCCGACATCGTGCTCTTCCGTATTATAGTACAGATAATACGCGATCGATATGGTACGTAGAATCCGGTTGAGAAGGCAAGATCGTTTCGAGTGATTGCGGGGGGGAGGTGTCCTACTGCCGGAAATCCGACGCGTTACAAGGAGGAAAACCACGCGATTTCTTGGCTATTAGCGCGTAGCTTGATGGCAGGTAGGTGTTCAAATATAAGTTAAAATGGAGTCGGAGGGGAAACCCGCAAACCCCCTCAGCCCGGACACGTAGGTCGAGCGGCTGTTTCGCGAGTTCTCAACGTTAACTGTGAGGGAAGCGATGAAGTGGCTGATGCTCGAATGGTGGCTAGTGGTGCTTGTCGAGTGCGCCACGCGAGAAAATATTCTGCCGGCAATATACACATTGGGCGGTGTGTTTTATTAACATATATAGCAGGCGGTATCATAATACACTAACCATAAAAGGAAAATCATGTGACTCAGAAACCTCACATCGATTTCGGGCTTGTTATCACTTTGTCCGACTTGCCGTTTTCCAGTCTGCTGTTCGGACAGAAGTGCACAGGAGGTCTCTGTGCCTACCTTCAAGCAAGAGATCACATGACCTGACCCCATGGCTCAACTCACACCGTCTGACATGGAAGTGCACACAAGATCCATGTGCCTACCTCTAGGCAGCTAATCTGACCCCTTGTCATTGTTTAGTTGATTCTCATTCCTTGAAGACTGGAATTTCGCTGTGTGATCTATGGAGTACTTATGGGTAATTGAGGGCTGTTCTCTTGCGACAATTAGCTTTACCAGTCGCGAAGATAATAGCATATTTGAGAAGCACAACAACCATCTCTCTTAATATCAATTTAAAGATACTACCTAGGTAGATAATTATTGGATACTAAATGGGAGAGAAGTATTCATGGCCAGTATTGCAGCGTTGTTCTGATGAGACGCCCAGTTTCCGCGATCTTCTCAATGCCCCGACATAGGGCTTTAATCGTTTGGTTTCAAATAGATCCAGCGAGATCACAGCCCGTAGACGCTAGATCGAGATGGCTGATTCCAGGATAGCAGAAACATAGTGAAAGATGCTAGTTGCTGCGAGGATGATGAGTACTGTTACAGTGCGCAAATACCACTCTCTGGTCACTGGATTTTGCATTTCAGAAATATGTGATTGGTTCTTTACTGTTGCTGCACCAGGTAAATCATCTTATGCCTGGACATAGCTGTCAGTTCTGGGATTGGCGAAGGACAGCCGCCAGAGCTGCAGACAGGAATGTGGGTCTGTGTCAAGGTGTGGTGGTGGGATGATCGCGATGACACGAAGGGAACCATGAAACACGATCAGAGCGCTAACATGCTCTTGGCAAGGCCAGCGGTCTGGGGTTGGGCTCTAAGCCCTGTTAGGGATAACAGGCATGATCCCGGTCCCTAAAAACGGGCAGCTATTTTTATATGGATGTTTCAGATTTTTCCAGCGATTCGTGGATGCGCAATCCGATTTCTCGGTCCCTGAACAAGCGGACTGCCTTAGGCAGGGGTTTCCGCGTCAAGCAGGCCGTTGGACGTAAGCCAATGGCGCGCAGAGTCAGATATCTAACAGATCACTGCAAGGAGTTCAAGTTGGAAGAACTCTCTTTGGAAGAGCTCTTTTGAGGGTGACGCAGACGTCTCCCTTGCTGCCACCACTTTTCTTCCCAGTAAAAGTCCTCGAACTAGTAATATGTAGGATCTACAGTACATACACATCACGCTCTACATGCGTTCTGTTTCTGGTTTTTCTTATCCAAGAATGTTCATGGCATTGCTTCGAGTGATTCCAACTCACCTTCTGACAAGACTGGCATGGACACACAATCATAGCTCAATTGCCATTATTACCAATTCGATTTTGGTGACAATTCGGCATCCTTCATTCATACGAGGTGCTGCTTTCTGTAGTACTGTTTGTTTCAATGTGCGATCGTCGTAAAATGTGAGGGATTCTCATGAACGTTAGAGAATTTGAGAATTTAGGTCTGAGCTTTTCTTGCCCTTTACACAGAGTATAACATGCTCCTCATGATGAGCAACAAATATGCGTCAGAAATTCGCATTGGAATTCTAACTGTTGCGAGAAAGCTGGGCTGCACAAGCTAAGCAGAGAGGAAGTTGGCCAATTCCATTTCAGGTCGAGGGGCGATAGTAATGGCATCGATGGACAGTACAGTACTACATAGACACCTGGCCAAGCTCTGATGCCGGATCTCTGGTCTGAAGTTGCCATCGCTGCCTGTTTGGGATCGACTTATGGAGGTGTGACATGATACAGTAATGCTTTGAGAGAAGCTCGATCTCTGCCTCGATATGCGTTTGCTGGCCCTGCTGGCGTGGTGTCGACTGAATTCAGCACCGTCTCGAGTGATATTCTCGTCAATTGCTCAGAAATGACCAGAGCAGCCGTCATCGGAGGCAGAGTGTGCGGGTCATCGCCATGCTCGCTGGCCGGGCGGGTGGCTAACCACGCGCTGCGCAGCCGGGGCTTCCTGCCAGCCGCACCCGCAGCCCTCGCCTCTCTCTCTTCTCTGCTCCACGACAGGCCTATCCATCCGGTCCCCTGTCTCCCTTCTCCTTCTCCTGCCTCCCAACCCTGCCCTTCCTCGTTCCTCGTTCCTCCTTCTCCCGTCCCTCTAGCTTTTAGTATTTACTTTATTAATGCCTATTCTGTTTTTTTATAATCCCTTCGTCGATTGTCTTATTGCTTCGCTGCTCGCTTTCCGTCCGGCACTACGTAAGACCGTCCGTCCGTCCTGCCACCTCTTCCGATCCTTGTCAATATTCGCCTGACGCTCTTTCGGAGCAGCTTGTCTCGACGACGTCCTTCCTTCCACCGTCTTCGAGTCCTACCGTGCCTTTCTGCTAAATATTTAATATCGGATTCTCTATGCGTGGAGGATTGGCATTTTCGTCCGCTTAATCGACCTGCTGGGATCAACCTCGACAAGCCGCAACATCGACGTATCGTTCCCACGTTCGCCTCTGTCGTGAAGGGTACTCTCTGAACAGCGAGGAGCGGTTTTCGACACTCCTTTAAAGCACTTGTGCTAGACCGGCTCGCCGACAAAGCTTTTACTCGGTGTCAACGGAGCCGCCACTGCGTCATCCAACGGCTTATCCACGCAGTGGTCCTCGCCTTCTGGAAAGCGGCGTTGGCCACTGGCTGTTCTCAGAGATTTCGTTTTATATACTTTTTTGCCGAGCTTTCGACGTTACCAGCTTAATTGGCAAAGGATAGCGGGGCCACGCATCTAACGTGCGTCGGTGTCGAGAACCTTATGGGTTTTTCCCACGTCTCCCTCTCTCATCCAGCGGACCAAGTCAACTTCCACTTCAGCCAGTCGGGTTGAGGACTTTTGCAGTCCTCCAAGGGTATATCTATCTTTCGTTAAGCTTCCGAGAAATCCTAATCTATAATGGTTCCCGTTTCACGTCAGGAAGGTCATCTCAACCTGAACTACATTCCGATCTCTCAGCCAATGTCGGGAACGTCGACTGGAAGCAGCTCGCCCAGCGATCCCTCTGCGGCGGCTGCGGTGAAATCTCCTTTTGGAGGTCCCAACGGGCTGGGTAGTGCTCCGGGTTCATTGGGAAGCTCGCGACTAGGGGCTGGATCCCCTTCTCATGAACTTGGTGCCCGCCTCTATTCTAAGCGGTATGCATCCGTCGCTGCACTGGAAGGAATCCATCCCACTGCTGACCTATCTCATTTCTTATAGGGCGCGAGAGATTCAGGCGCAGGAAGGTGTTTCCCCGAGCATTTGGGGCCCCCCAACGAGTGGACATTCTACCCCCCTTCGCGAGAATATTCCCGAGTCTCCTAGTCAGGATGGCTTTCCCGACCTCGTGCCTCCTCCAGAGTCAACAATCAACAGCCCCGCTAGAAGGGCCAGAGCGGGCACTGTTCCGTCGCGATTCCCTCCTGTCGGCACGCTGAACGGATCGAACCTTCAACAACAGTCTTTCTTGTCCAAGACGTCCCGGCCTACGCCATCAACCAGCCCATTCCGACCCCCGGGAGTCTCAGGTGTCGAGTCCAGCGTGAAGACGACAACAGCCGCACCTGGAAGTAATACGACAGTCTTATCCCGTCTGCGGGCAGGCTCAATGCCGCAGCGTACAAGTATTCTGGGTTCTTCGAATCCTTTTGGGCCGTCTCTTTTCTCCACGAACTGGTCGACTGGGCGGGAGCGAGCGACAACACTTACCAGTATTCGATCATCCGAAGGCCCAACTTCTCCATCCCAGTCCTCCTTTTCGAGAGACGGCCTGGCCGATACCGATGTGAAGACGTTGGACTACCTTGGGCTGGCAGAAACGCCACAGCAAACGGGGGCGACACTCGCCCGTCCGTCAGTGGAGTCTCTCATGCAACAACAGCAACAACAGCAGCAGCAGCAACAGCAACAACAGCAGCAACAACAGCAACAGCAACAGCAACAGTCATCAGCCCTCCCTCCGCTGCTGGCTGAACTGGCGATGATGAAGAATAATAACCGGTTCCGATCCTACTCTGTGAACGCCACAGAGAAATATGCCGAGGATGATGAGGAGTACGGAGCCCAGTATCCACAGGTTCCGTCAGGCACTATGACTCCCTCGGCTGCAGCGACGGCAGCACAACTTGCAGCAACGCAAGCTCAAATCCATCAACATAACCTTGCAGTCCAAGCTTTCGCCAACCATGCCTCTGCAAGTCGGCCTCGAGCAAGGACAGCCGGTGTTCTTGATACGCCGCCACAACGATCTTCCATTCGAAATTACCTTGCAACTCCTTCCCGGCTGGACAACAGTATCAGCGCGGCTGACCTCCGCATTGCAGAGGGTGGGGAATATGACGAACTATCCGAGGCTGTACACATGATGCAGCTTGGCGGAAATAATAATAATAATAATAACGCCAATGTTGCTGCTCGTCCCGCCGCGGAGACGACTGATGAAAACAACATCGAAGGCCCGACAAGAGCATTATGGATCGGAAGCATTCCTGTTTCCACAACCGTCACGTCTCTGGAAGCGATCTTCAGCATATACGGCAAAATCGAATCGACCCGTGTCCTTACGCACAAGAACTGCGGATTCGTCAACTTCGAGCGTATTGAAAGTGCTATCCAGGCTAAGTCCCTTCTCAATGGCAAAGAGATCTTCCCTGGGGCAGGGCCTGTGAGGATCGGGTACGCCAAGGTTCCAGGAACTTCTGCGTCTGGGACCCCAGGTGCCAATGGAACCCAGCCTTCTCCGACGCCTGATCCCAATGCAGCTTCGGGAGCGAACGGGGCCGATGCGGGCTCGAAATCAGAGAGAACGGATGCGAATACTCCTCAGGTCCCGCCTCTCGTCGAGTTGCAGCCAGAAATGGCTCAGATTGTGAAGGAATTTGGTGCCACTGATGAGGACGCTCGCAAAATCACCGCTAGCATTCAGCGGGCTATTGCGTACAAGTCATTTATAGACGAGATTCCACCAATCCCGGAGCCAAGCCAGACTCGGATGTACGATGCCCCTCGCCTTCGCGACATCAGAAAGAGGATCGATAATGGGGCCTGTTCCATCCAGGAGATTGAGGAAACTGCAAACGGCATGCTTCCAGAGATCGCAGAGCTATCTTCTGACTATCTCGGCAACACGGTTGTCCAGAAACTTTTCGAATATTGTTCTGAACAGACCAAGGAGCAGATGCTGGTCCAGATCGCACCACACCTCGCGGAGATTGGAGTGCATAAGAACGGAACGTGGGCCGCTCAAAAGATTATTGACGTGGCGAAGACTCAGACGCAGATGAAAATGATTGTGGAGGCCCTTCGACCATACACGGTTCCTTTGTTCCTAGATCAGTACGGCAACTATGTGCTGCAGTGCTGTTTGCGCTTCGGCAGTCCGTATAATGATTTCATCTTCGAGACCATGATCAGCAGGATGTGGGAAATCGCTCAGGGAAGATTCGGTGCTCGAGCCATGCGCGCTTGCCTCGAAAGTCATCATGCCTCCAAAGATCAACAACGGATGCTTGCCGCTGCCATTGCGCTTCACAGTGTTCAGCTCGCTACGAATGCGAACGGCGCCCTTCTCTTGACTTGGTTCCTGGACACATGCACCTTTCCCCATCGGAGGGCTGTGCTCGCTCCGAGACTTGTGCCTCACCTGGTGCACCTTTGCACCCACAAGGTTGCCTATCTGACCGTTCTCAAAGTGATCAATCAAAGGAACGAGCCTGAGGCGCGGGAAATCGTGCTCAAGGCCCTCTTCTTCAGTCCTGGTGACGAAGTCTTGGAGAAGATCCTGAGTGACCCAACATCCGGCGCGACGCTGATCTTCAAAGTCCTGACCACACCTTTCTTCGACGAGTCGATGCGCGCAGAAGTTGTGAAAAACGTGTCCAAAGTTCTCACCAAACTGAAAGCTACTCCAAGCCAGGGCTACAAGCGCTTGATGGATGAGGTTGGGCTGTCCTCCCGGGGCAGTTCTCGTGACCATCACTCCGGAAGAGACGGTGGAAGTGGTCACGGCTCGAATGCGGACAAACAGCAGCACCGTCCAACGTCGCGGCAGACGGCAAACACCAATCATCACTCTCAGCATGCCACGGAGAGACAGTATGGCGGGCAGTTTACCGGCGCTCAGAACCTGGACAACACAGCATCCATGGCACGACCTGTGACTTCCGAACAAACCTTCGACCATTACGGTGCGAACGGAGTGGGTGGCCCTGCTGGTATTGGCGCGGCTGGCGGTATCAACACCATCAACGGTCTTGGTGGTATGAACGGTCCAGGATTCGGCCAGGAAGGCATGATGCCAATGAACCAGCAACAGCTCCAGTATCAGGCTTACCTGCAATCCCGAGGTATGTCGCCGAGTGGGCTTTACCCAGCCGTGGCTGGCAATAACTTTGGTGGATATGCCCCGTCTCTCTCCATGGACAATTTCAGGGGGTTGCAGGGCCCTTCTACCCTGCCCGGACCAACGTCGCAGATGAGTGCCAGTCCGATGCTCAGCCAACCCGCCTTTGCTCCGGCCCAATTCAGTCCTGTTCTGAACACTGCCCAAATGTACCAGTATCCTCCACAGTTCTACCCCCAAGCTCAAGCCCAAGCCATACCAAACCAAGCCGCGGGTGGGCGGCGTGGACGCGTAAGTACTCCAGATGGCGCCTGAAACGCACGTGATCGCAAGGACTAATTTTCTTAACGGATTTAGCGATGAACCCAAGTTGATCTGAAAAAAGAAAAAGAAATCCTTATTTTCCTTTTTTGACTTGTACTTGTTTGTATAAAGCCTTTTTCTACCAAGAAAAAAAAAAGCGATCATCTGGTTATGTGCACTGAAATGACGACCTTTGCCCGAACCGACGCTGGATCGTATCGGGGGAGGGAAAGGAGCAACGAAGTGGTGACGAGTTCAACTATCGGCTTTCTTCCAAGTTGGACATTGCTCAGCGTGCAAAATCTGCCATACAGGTTCTTGTGTATCTCTTCTCTTCGGTTGTCGGTACTCGATCTGGGTGACTTGGCGACGCAAGTTGTTTCAGTTTCTGAAATTGTTTGCCCCTTCCTCGATTGTGCATGGATGCTCCTGTTTGGTGTGATGACGGACTTGGTCGAGTGTTGGTAAAACAGCTACGGTGAGGCCCGTGACGGTGATCGTACCGTCGAGCGACTTCTATAGCTTGGAATGGCACGGGCGTTTGGATGATGTCTTTCGCTACTGAGCTGGGGGCGTGTCACGCATCCAGTCGGTTGGCAAGGAGACCATGAAAGTGGCAAGACATGTGCAAATTCCTGGAAAAAGTTGCGCTCATCTGACGTGTATGTACTGTACATATATATAGTTTGGCTGTCGATTATGTTTCCTTGCCATCCACCAGCCACAGTTTGAACTTCAAGAGACCTTTGTACCGATCCGAGGTTTTATTCTATTTGTTTGTTGTTAGATAACCAGAGTGAATCAAAAAGAAAAAAAACGGGTGATGTATGGCAGGCAGGAAGGATACTTTTTCTTCAGACGACATCTCCGCATAAGTCCGACCGTCCAGCTCAAAAATGGGATCGAAAGCTGTAGCATGCAACCAACCAGTAAGAACCACTCAGAACCAATAAATCAACAACAGACGGAAAGGGTATGTAAGGAAGAAGCGCACCAAACCCATTCGACCCTCTCTTGGGCACGATCCGCCCCGTATTGCGGCCCTGGAACAGGAGTGTCTCGACGCCCGGTCCCCGCGAGAAGGCGAAGGTGCAGACGGCCGTGGCGGATTTATCGTCGTAGGCGGCGAGAAGGTTGTTCAGGCCGTCGTTGCCGAGGGCGGAGTAGAACCATTTTCTAGGGTAGCAAGTTAGATAGATAGGTAGATATAATAGTCCTGGTGTTTGTGTAGATGGGGGAGAGTGGAAAAATCCAAAATGGGAAATTTCGCAAGCACGTGTCTATTATTATAAAGGGAGATTCCTTCTCACTCACATATACGGTCCCGGCAATCCATTCAACGCATGGAATTCCAGAGAGCTGTCTTCAACGAGGACAGGACCGTTGACCTGGTAGTTTTCAATATTATCATCAACTAGTCTCTCGATTGAATTGATTTTTTTTTGTTCTAACCGCAATGGCAGCCCTTCGACATTTCTCCCTCGCAATCTCCTCCGTTGTCCCCTGGATCTCGGGGAGATCGAGCGCGCGGATCTCGACTTTGATCGCGTCGCCCAGGATCTGGGTGACTTCGGCGATTTTGTTTCTGTTGGATGTTATGAAGGTGATTGTTGAGAGTTTGGGGATGGCCATGGTATTGTATGTATTTCAATAGAAATCGAAATGGGGATTTCTGCGATTGGGGCTGGGAATTGAAAGAGATATATACACAATACTATACTATCATCAGGTCTATTTATTTATATCTTTGTTTTGGCGCGTCATGCAATAATGCATGGCATGACGTTGTTTATGTTGGTGTGCTGGGTGCTGCTGCCGCCTAACCCTTATCAATAACTAGTGAGTTCACTAATGAGGTTTCATACGGAGTATACGAACTGTTGATATTTTGCCAGTTATGAGCTAGACCCTTCTCAGACTTCCTCAGACTACATATTGCAACTAGTTCATCGCCCTTGCCAGTCTATATTCTCAACAGCGCCGGCTCGTATCTGTACCCGTCATACCGGACTTCGTACCCTCCCGTGAAGCCGACCTGCGTCTCGTATCGCTTGAACCCGACCAGAGGTCTTTTCAGCCTGACATTGGTCCCGTCCGGGTTCGTCCGGGTGAACCAGATGCAGATGTCCGGGTTGATCAGGACCAGGACAAGTTGCAGGATGAAGAAGATGGCGAAGAAGATGCGTGTGACGGGTGATTCGATTCCTAAAAGACTCTGGGACAGGACCCCTGCGAAGCAGGGGATGAACAGGGCAAGAACGTGGGTGGCCTCGGAATATGGGCGGTCGTAGAGCGTTTGTGGCATGGTATAGTAGTAGTAATAGTACGGAGGGAGTATTCATGCATGCGAAAATGCATCCCCTCAATAATATTAATGCAAGTTTTTATGACCAAAGCGCCTGCGGGGTTACTTAGCTTATGCTCTCATGCTCGCGTGTTGATCCTGTCGGCTCGGCCTTCCTGAGAAAGGATTTCTATGAAAGATTTCCCGAGAGAAGGAATTAGTTTATTTAGGGCAGTTAGAATCAATCAGTATCTGTTGGCATACTTGCTAGTGGGACTCTGCCCCATTGTAACAGGACACAGCCACAGTTCTCCAACGTAGGATTAATGTAGGTTGCCAATCTCATAGTCACGTTTATCATGACTTATAACCTCATAGAAGGCTTTCTCTTCAGTCCAAACACCACGGTCTCAGGTTTTCGCTAATAACGGTATTAATATCTGGCCGTTGAGGGAAGGATTTACATCCGACTCCAATACCCACAGTGGAGAATAGCAATCTAGATCGAATTTATTTATTTAGATTGGTGTGATATAAGCAAATCAGCTAACCAGATCTGTAGGACTCATACAGGTAGAAAAGAAGCAAACCAGAGACACTCGCAGAGTACTCATACATCAACCAGGATAAATCAAGAGATGGAGATCAAATCATAGATGGCATAAAGAAACTGGGAAATGAAAGAAGAGGAAGGCATCCATGGTCAGGTGGACTTCTCCATGAGCGGGTCGATATTCTTTTTTTGGGATTCTTCCCTCTCCCGTTCAAGCAGATGCAACGGGAGATTTGCGTCACGCGTCTTCTGGTGTGCTTCATTGATGGCTGGGTCTCTCGAGACTTCATCTATCTCCTTTTGCAACTGGTTTATCTGCGCATCTATTTTTTTCTTTCTCTTCCTCAGACAAGTTTTGTTTCTTCTTAGACAATTCTTCTATCTGTAGCTCCTTTATTCATGGAGTATACAGTCAGAAATGGTGTGAAGACTTGGTCATAAGAGAGGAAAGGACACGGAGACAGGGAGGAGGCTCAGAAATATATAACTCCACGTGGACGTACCCCGCCCTTGTGCGTAGACACCCAGAAGTTTCTATTTTCCTCGCTAGATTCCGACATGATTTTGGTGTCTGCAGAATCTGTTAGCTTAATAGCATGCAAGAAACGTATCATAGATTCCAACCATACCTTCAGGCAGGAATAGCACTTCAATCAGGATTCAAAGTGACTTGGAATAGACTGTATTGAGTCTTGTCTTCTAGACAAAGTTGGGCTTTTGAAGATGTTGAAGAAAACAACCTACACATGGAGTATCTCATGCTTTATATTTTATCTATAAGAGTCATTTTTTACAAATGATTCATATCATTGCAGTCATGTTTCGCTGTTCTCATTATTCACAATAGTATGACATGACGGGATAGTATGACTGTGTATCGGGAACATCCGTAGGAAGAAGACATCAAACGCCTACTATTCGTCACGGAAGTTGGGTATTTTCTACTGAAGTCAGCTTTTCCAGTAGAAGTAACCTAGAGAGAGATACTCATTGAATACATACACGTATCGTGGAATTTACACGGGACATATATTTTCCTATTCGCGTATGTGGTCTTTTTCTCGCGCTTCAAGTCGGTGTCTATTTCTTAGACTAGGAAAGTCTGTCCTGCTTCGACAGAGCAGCAGAAAGGTAGGAATATCTCAATAGCACCTTCCTCAACTGGAAGTGGAAAGATTTAACTGTCATAAAGATATCTTACGGCAGACATCAACCAGATTGTGTTTATACTATTTGTGGATAATGAAGAGAGTCACACATTCCTAGTAATTCTTATTCACTGCACCTCAGGAATTATAGTATCTTTTGCCTGTTCATACCGCCTTTCTTGTTCTAGTTCTCCAAATCGAAGTATTTCATCGAAGAATTTCCGATTCCGTTCCCCTGAAGAGAAAGGAGGACGAGACGATGAAAGAGTTTGGCGCTGGTTTTTGTCATCTCCTTCGAAGGAGAAGTTCTTTGGCCATTATTAATAATTATTCCAAGAATTCCTGAGAATATTTTCCCCAGCAAATGCCTTATCGAGAGTGTTGTCAGTTTTTGATATTGGACTGCAATACAACCAACTATGCAGTACAACTCGCGTCGACTAGACTCTCTGATGACACTGCAATAGAATGTACTCTACCGCTTCAATAATCAGCAATCAAGCAAGCTGAATACATTGTTTGAGGTACATGTATGTAACACCATTTATTGTCGGTCCACTGTACGATGTATCATCCTAATTGGGTTTAGTGACATGAGCCAGGTTATCGCCTTTGGGAAAAATAGAAGACATGTACTCTTTCCAGTCTTATTTTCCTCCAACCATGCGGTAGCCACGGATCCTCAGAGGTGATATAAAACACTTCTTTATTTATTTTGGATGCTTCTCCTAGCACATACAACCATCAAGTGTGGAATGCAGTGCTTCCCACCCGTCCAGCAGTACTTGAGCTATTTGCCGGCCGGGTAGTATTGGGTGAGAGACCGCCAGCGAACTCTGTTGTATGTTTTCTTCTCGTCTATTCTCTCTCTCTCTTTTTTTCTATAAAAAAATTCTTTCTTTCCTGCTGTTATTCAACCTGCAAAGATGTGACGGAAGTCATGATAGAAAAGAAGAAAGGCCTACATATGTGCAATAAATTGCAATTCACAAGACAAACAAAAGATGGCAACTTCTTCTATCTTGTATCGAAACAATGAAGGCACCGTGTTCTTGATCGATATTCCAACCTCCATCGTCCTGGCGCAACATCTTCCCTCTCCGTCTCATCAGAAAACGAGCAGTCTAGAAACTGGGAGAGAGAGGCCTGCACCCCGAAAACAGCTCTATTCAGTACCAGCCCTGGAAACGCCATTTCCGTCTCCGCCGGAGCCGAAAAGTGATGCCGCTCGAGCTCGTGTGTTGGCGAGGATCCCAGTATCAGAACGGCAATTCCACGAAGGAATCGTGTCTTTTGTGAGGCAAGGCCTGGAGCAAATCCGAGACAGCTTTGAAGGAGTTTCTGCCGGAGCTGAGAAGCGGATGTGGTGTCTCCCAAGGAAGGTGATGCAGAGAGAACAGCCCGAAAAAACGATATTTTCCGCAGAAGAACCTGTTTCTGATGAAGCGGATTCTGATCGTCCAACGAAGAAATCAAGGACAAACACGACGATGGGCAGCAATGACGGCTGTCATATCACTCGACCCTTGCTCCATCTCCCTCATGAGCCGAAGACAGAGATATCTGGTGTCAATCCTACAGAGTCAAGACCAGGACCACCACTGATCCTGTCACCAAGCGTGAATGAATTCGAGAGCCTGTTAGAGCTCCGGAATGTGGAGGTTCAGAATCCCTCAGCGACTCCGACAGTAATCCGGGCATACTGCGGTACCGCCAGTCCTGCAGAAGAATCAACCCAGCAGGATTATGCAGCATTTAATATTCCGCCCGAGTCGTGTTTCGTGCTCTGTACTCTACGAATGCAAAGCGCGCAGCCACGCAGCCATTCCCCTATTCCGGGGCTTCCTGGAAACAGGAAATTCAACCTCATTCTTCTCGACCCGCCGTGGCCGAATCGGTCGGTCCGTCGCGCGGCGAATTATGCTACACATGCATACTCTGATATGGACGGACTCTCACGGATGATTAGAGACATAATACTCCAGCACCTTCACGACGGTCATCAGGATCATCCGGATGTTGAGCATCAGAGAGGGGAGCAAGATCTCGTGGCAATATGGGTTACGAACAAGGAAAAGTCGCGCATTGCGGCCTACGACGCCATACGGAGCGCCGGTCTCTCCGTCTGCGAGGAATGGGTGTGGATCAAGACGACGACGCAAGGCGAGCCCGTTACGCCGCTGGACGGCTTGTGGAGGAAGCCTTACGAGATACTAGTCATAGGCAAGCGGGGCGAAAAGGATAACAATAATAGAGACGACAGTAGCCATACAACAGGGGATCTATCACCCCAACGCAGACTGATCGCCGGCGTCCCGGACGTCCACTCTCGCAAGCCGAACCTGAAGGAGCTCTTTGAGGCGGCTTTCTTCGATTCCTCTTCTGCTCGAGGAAGAACTAGATACTCTGCTCTCGAGGTCTTTGCGAGAAACCTCACTGCGGGATGGTGTGCTTGTGGTGATGAGGTCCTCAAATTTAACCATGACGAGTGGTGGTTTGAGGAGTGAATTCATACAAACATACATGGTAAAGGCTATGAGCGAAGAAAGGACTATCGATTACACTGCGCACTGGGTATTGCATTATACTGTATTAGATTAGATTAGATTAGATTGTATCATGCAATCATAGATATGACCATGATGGAGGCTTAGCTTGTGAGACTACACTCACTCACGTATCACAAGCGCAGGTGTCCATGAAATGGATATTTTTAACTATCTTTCTAAAAAAAAAATAAGAAGAAAGCAAATCGACAAACCCAGGTCCATCCATCCACAGACCAAACGCCATAAAAAAAGACAGCAAACCATTGAAACAGGATGTAGAGTACTTTTTATTTCTCCCCGAAAACCCATCCTGAATGCACGTCTCAATTCGAATCAACCCGATGGGTGCTGATATCAAGTACTAAGGTAGGGATTGATTTTTGTTTCGTCATGAGACCGTATGGTATGGCGTGAGATGAGTGGGTTTGAACCAGCAGAGGAGAGGTTGAATAGCTCTCAGCCTCTCTCCTCTCTGACAAGCTTATTCGAACACCGGCCCCAAGCTCACAAGACTGAACCTGAGATCACCCTCCCCCGCTTCAGCCTCCTTCCGCAGAAACCTCCTCGGCCCGAGCTCGAGAGCCTTCTCGCTGAGGACATCCTCGTCGTCGGCCAGCCGGCCTCGCTCGAGCGGGCCCTTCCGTCGCCCATCCAGCTCCCAGAGCCTCCCATCCGCGCCCTTGACGAACGCGACGAAATGCAGATCGACGTTGTCCTCCGCCTGCGGCGCGGCCGTGTCCCCGCGCTTGGCGGCGTCGGCGTGCGCGCTCTCCAGCGCCTTGCTCTCGTACAACAGGTCGGCCCGCGCGACGGGGTCGAGCGGCTCCGCGTCCCGGAGGAGCTTATCCAGGTCAGATCCCGGAAGGATGTGCTTGCGAGGCTCGCCGTTGCTGACGGCGTGCAGGAGGCCGATCAGCCCGCACGCGTTCCGGATCGTCTGCTTGAACCACATGACCGGCTCGTCGGGGCCGGAGCCCGTGTACTCGGGGATGGCGCTGTCCTCTGCGATGCGAGCCTCTTCGTAGGCCTTTGACACGGGGAAAACGAGCAGAAGCGCGTGGGACGGTCGGGGCACGAAGGCGAGCAGGTCGGGTTCGTCGATCGAGTAGACGTCCGTGAAGCCGAGGGTGGGAGGGAGACCGAGTTGGTGGACGAGGTGGGACATTACTTCGGGGTTATTTTCTGTAAGAAAAGATCTGTTAGCAAATGCTTCTTGCATAGCGTATATACGTGTGTAAGCTCAAGAATGAATGGGATCTAAGTAAGCTGCACAAGCGCGTCAACATACCCAGAGGCACAAAGGCCTTATTGTTGCTCGGCGCATCAGGATCCTCCGCCATGGTGTAAAGCCTGTCCTCAACTCAAGAATGTGAAAAGGGCAAGCAGATCAAAGGGTTGTGAATGTTTTGACGTTTGATTGCGGGGTACGCACTGTATAGCTGGAGATTGAGATTAGTTTTGGTGCAAACGCCGCAAACGTGCGGGGAGATCGATAGCATCATCGATCAGCAGTACATCATAGCAGCTCTACAACTTACGATACTGGATTGAATTGAGATTGAATTGAGGGTATATAGTATTGCCTGTAATCACAGACCTAATATGAATCTTTCTCCTAGTCTTCTCTCTATTCAATTAATTGCGTTGATCGATTCTGGCCATGTAACAAGGTATCCACAAAACAACCATTCATAACATCAAAATAAACTTCTCATTCATTCAATCTTCGGCTTTTCGCCTCTTTTCAGCGGCTCAAAGATATGCGTCCATATCTCGCTGGCTTCGCCGATAAAGTAAGACAGACTAACATCCGCCATGCCCGCGTCTTCGTCTCCCGCGATCGTCTCCAGCTGCGAGATGATGTTCTCCAAGCCAAAGGCTTTTCCAGTCGCCTGAGTAGTGCCGGCTTCCAGCATGACGTTGACCACGTGGACATGGAAGTGGTAGTAGGTTGGTTGATCTGGAAGTCGTCAGCCTTATCAATCAACCATAGAAGCGGGGTGAAAATCGCCTACAGTGAACGTAGAGCTTCAGATGATCCTCCTCGAGCTCAGGGTACATCTTCACCGTAGCTTCCAGTAGCCTCTTTTGTAGGTAGCGCAGCCACGGGATGTGCTTTTTCTTCAGATCGCGCAGGCTCCAGATATCGCGGCGCTCGACGAGGGCCAGCAGATGCAGCGATCCGATCGTCTTGCGGTCCCAGTTGAGGTCCGGCAGCATCAGGAAGCCGTCCTCGGGCCCGTGCTGGTTGTCGCGCAGGATGACGTCCTCCTGCTCCGTCCTCCCCTCGAGGATGTTGAACACCCAGTTCAGCCGCCCTTCCTCACGTTTCTGCCGCATGTACGGCCTGACATAGTCTCTGTAGATCTGCGGCGTCTCGGTCACCATGCGGACCTGCTGCGCCGAGTATTTCCTGATGTGCTGTTCCGTGCACGGCCAGATCAGGTTCAGCTTGAGATCTGGCGGGTTGTCGTCGCCTGAGCCTGAGTCTGAGCCTGACCCCGAAGAAGAGCAGGCCATGTACCACCGGTAGATGTCGTTGTCGCCGAGATTCCTGACCCGCGTGATGGCCGCGTGGAAGGCGCGCAGCACTTCGAGAGATTCAGTTGCGAAGGCTGCTCGCTCCGCGATCAGGATGCCTTGCTGTCCGTCGATATGGCCCAGCATGGCGATCCGGCGGCCATTTTGATCTAAAATTTATTAGTAAGTCAAATATAATTAACATTATGCAAAACAAAATCCTGCTGCAAAAAAAGATATCTGTATGCTTGGGAAAGTGGAAACATGGTGTTTACTAAGTTAGTACAGTACGCACCTTGATTCAATAACCTCTCGATTTGGAATCGCGGAATCAGCGACTCCGGAGTTGCTTTTTCCCCCATAGTGAAAATACACGACACAATCTCCAATAATATATTTTTGTCGATCTAGTCACTCTATCAGGTGGTGTTTGAGTTGTATAGTTGGGAGAGCGGTGAGTTTAAATCTAAATCTCCTGCAGATTACTCCACATCTTGTCTGGCAGAATCCACGGGCGGTCTGCTGCACTATCTATGCTTTCACACTATGGCCTATATTATTAGATCCTATCTCCTTGCCAACTGTTCTCTCTTTCATTTTTATCATTGGTCGTGTTTTGCTGCTTCATCACTTGTAAGCATGAATATAGTGTGTACTGTACAAAAAACATGGGCATTATCTGATACACCCACATGAGACATGGACCTGAAGGAAATTCAGGTCTTTGTGTCCCATCCTTCAATGATGTACCACAATACAACAGATTGGTAGAGATTCCGAATGCAGGTTCAACTGACCCGTATCTCTCAGCACAGCGCATGTGACGTGCTGTCACTGTCTCTTAGGCGCGGAGTATATGCGTGCAGCAAGTATGAGACAGCAATCTGAGCATAGTCGGTTATCGTACTCTCTGCCAATCCCTCCTAGTCACGATGGTCTCTTAATGGCGCGCGGCATTTCCTTGCAAGTCACAGCTGCTGTCTGAAGATATCTCGCTCTTAGTCGTCTCCTTAGTCTCTAGCGACGTAGAGCTTCATTGTGAATCTCGTTATGAGCACAGACGAATTTAATCACTCCTTCATGTAGACGTCTGTTCAGTGGATGAGCCTGGTTTGCCATTCTCAGTCGAAGGCGGTGCGCTCGAATGCATCTGATAATATCTAAGTCAGCCCAGCACCAAAAGGAGACAAGAGAAGAGACTGAGCATACCGCCTCCGCAAATTTCAACCATTCCTCCACACCTTTCACAAATGGATCATCTGCCGCAGGCAGCACTTCATGACCCCACACAACGAACTCGTTGAAAGTCGCTTGTTTTTCCAGAACCTTGACCGGCTCCTCTGAATCGCCGTCGATCGCGCCATCCTGCTCATTTTGACTGTAGTCTGTCTTCACACCAGGATTGGAAGCTGGTAGAATTCTGTCTGTAGGTACAGCGACGACACCTATTGACGGTAGAAATAGATGTCAGTAATAATCCGTACCATCACATGCTCATGCATGGGGATTGTTTCACCCACCCTCATAACCTTCAGGAAGCTCGACTCGTCTGCCACGTAACTTGCGACCGCGGAAGTATGCTGTCTGGCCTATTTCCTG